TCAAGGGTATACAGGATACATGATATTATTTTGATATGTGATAATCATGAAGGGGATGCGAGTCTTACACATTCGAAGAAAAAAGTCGCCAGCAGCTTGCATTTCTAGACATAATTTCTGAGTAGAAGAGATGATGGTTCAATAGCACAATTAATTGAACAGGGTAATTACTTAAATTCTCACAACTTCTGTTCACTGCAGTATAAGAGAGAGGCTTGGTGAAATGCTTATTTATTTAAGAGAATTCAGATTATTAGTACGGCTGATGTGTTATAGAGAAGAAGGGAAATAAAATATATCATGGGTACTCTTGTTGAAAATCGATATCCTTTAAAATTTTTAAACAGGTGTAGAAGTTAATTAGTTTTAAAACCTACAATCCATTCCTCGCCTAAAAAAGATGTCTTTATCGAATAAACATACAATGGGGAAATAATAAATAGTGGGATTTGAGACAGAGATCAAAGTCGATCATTCGTAGAACCTATCATGCAACCTGGCTCGTAATCATTGAAAAAGCGAAAAAAATATGCCCCACTACAAACCTCAAAAGTGCACAAGTGATTATTCACACATTCTACACCAATTTACGTGTGTGTGTGTGTGGTCACACATATGTGGAGAGGAGTAATTACGCTTTGTAAGTGAGGATGGGAGAGCGAGCATATTCCGAGATGGTTAGAAAGACATATGACCTTTGGAAAATCAATAGACGCTGGTGTCAGACTGCCAACTTCGTTTATAGCCGAGGCAACTAGTCGACATGATCCATAAGATTGGTGGTAACACAGCTTTTAAGGTCATCTATAAAAATAGTCGAGAGGGCGCTTATTGAAATACACTGAGGCTATAGTCGTTCACATACTCACTCCCCACATATGTGTTCAAAATCAATTTGTTATTACTCTTCACCTACCTTGGTGATCTTTATCTGATTGGATAACCAAAAAACGTGGTGTTAATTAATTATTCTTAAATCCTTTTTTGTCACTTTGTGTACTATAATTCCTCTGTAATATTTTGTTTTATTCTCATATAAATTGACTTGACAAGTAAGTATGTCAGAGATCAGATTGTTGTTCGAAATGGTATTGCGCAAATGTATCACACTGTTGTTCAGATAGTTGATGTCTTGTGATAAATCAAAACAAGTGATTCAGTGAAGAGACTCTTTTCAACGAATTTATCATCAAGCTGTACAATCGTATGTGTACATGATTTTTAAGAAGTTATATCTGGTGAGGGAATTGAATCATAGGTGTGAATGCATAAAATAATAATAATAATAGTAGTATGAAATGCAATTAGAAAACTAAAATGTTTGTGATTATAATCCTAGTTAAATGTCAAGTGGCAAAACAAATTAACGTCATATATAGAATAATTCATAGGATGGATAGAACTTGAAAAAGGCTGTACAGTTATAGATAGGATTAGTAGACAAATCGAATAAAATAAAAACGTTACGTAATATTGTGTGAAATTTGATTGCGTAGAATTCAACGTTGTAAAAAAGAATTGATTTAGAATGACAAGTGGAACAAGTGAAATAATACCGGGGACAGTCGAAAGTGAGAATAGTAATACTAACAATTGACGTAATAAAGAAAGAGAATACAAATTGAACAGACAAAATGAAAAAATGAGAAACTGGTAGAGCCAAAATATGATTGGGGATTACCATTGATATAAGAATAAAACTTGTGCATTGTGATAGAGTATAATACCAATATGGGTAAATTTTTGTTTTGATAAAGTCTCACAGTGTTATACAGTAATGTTTACTTATGACGTTTCGAGCATAATTTATTGCTCATAATCATATCAAGGTAATCACACAACTTCCTAACTTCATTTATATAGTTCCATTATTTTTCACTTGATTTGATTGGCAGTAGTATTTTCCATATTTCAGGTATGAGTGATGAATCGTTCCTATTGTATGTGTTTGCTGTAGACTCGATGAACAAGGATTCGGTAATCAACCTCTTTCTCCACCTACCTAGATTACTTTTTAGAATTTTAACCCTCTCCCACCCTATTGTGTTGTTGTGTGTTAATGCATGCATTGCAATTGTTGAGCTTTATTCTAAATTACTTATCTTTCCAGGGTCAACCATTCTTACCTTAGCTAAATTCTTATGTTCTGATAATCTGACCTACTAGTTTGACCTATATAGTTGACCCCACAGTGATTGTAGGGTATTTTGTAAATTATATTATTTTGTCTAATTGGGTCAACTGGGTCCTTTAACCTACACAGCTTGTCCCTGAGTGAGTTTGTAGGTTTAAGTGCCACCCTAATTCCGGCCTTATTTAGAATCCTACGTAGGGTTTCAGGTGTCCCCTCCTTACATGGTATAACAGTGGATGGCTTATATTCTCTCTTATTTATATAATTATCAATAGTTTCGCAATTATTTGTATTTTTCGTTTCGCCTTTTTCGATCTTCCTGATGAATTTTAAAGGATAGTTATTTAACACTAAAGCCTCTTATATCTGTTCAAAATACTAACCAATTAGCAATATTATAAATTTTATTTATGGTGTAACCAGTTCGAACAAGTGGCTAGCCAGAAGTCAAGGGGTTTGAACTGATTTGGCTCTCTGAGCTGAGCTGTCCAAATGGGTGGTACACCGTTAATGAGCTCGAGTCCAAACGAGTAAAATAGCTGTCCACTGGTGTTTAGGTCATTTCGATGTGGTTAACTGGGCAGCACTACTGGACTGGCTGTTATGAATGATATGATGCAACTACTGATCTCAATTAATCACTAGTACATAGTTCTAAACAGTACATCCGCCTTTTTATACTGTTCATGTGTAACTACATAGAATGATATTATATATTTTCAATGGTTGGTTTGTAACGATTAGATTTGATTTTACGAGTTGACCACGGATTGATATCAGTTAGAGAACCATTGAAAACCAGGACCGGAGTACTGGACAGCTGCTGTTTCATCCTACTTTGTCAATCATTGATAGTACGCACGCACACTGCTGGGTTTGAATATCGGAGCTTCCGGTTACAAGGAAGGCAAGCTCGTATACCATTCAGCCATTGGCACCTGGTCGAGTCGCCATCCCGTGAATTCTAACTTGTACCAGTTCGTGATTTCGCGCGACTGGCACCAACCAATGCCATCGGCGGGAATCCATTTTAGCGCTAAATCACGAATTGGTTGAAGTTAGAATTCATGGGATGGCCAGTAATCGGTTCCCAATAGCTGAATTTTTATACGAGCTTGTCTTGTAACCGGAAGGTCCTGGGTTCGAACACCAATGGGTGTGTGTGTGCTGGTTTTCAATGGTTCCCTAACTGATATCGATCCGTGGTCTAACTTGTAAAAACAAGTCTAATCCCTTACAAACCAACTATTGAAAATGAATCTGATGCTGTCTAGTGACTTGCTACAGGATGGATTTTCTTAGAGTTCTGGTGAGATGTTGTGACCAGTATGGTACACGTATAGTCAAGTTTGAGTGTGGATGTCCCACCGATGACATAATAATAATAATAATAATAATAATAATAACAGCTTTATTCCAAACAGTATTTGTAGTACAGGTATGGAATTTTCAGCGTGCATTACAATATATTGCATCTAAATTACCTCATAAATTTTATAAGATTTTAAAATCAAAAAGCAACACCCTCAAAAAAGATAAATAAAAAAATAAAAGAACAGCGTTGCGTTTACATTTTAAACAATGCACCACAGGATATGAAATATAAAATTAGTGTGTAATAGAAGATGAGAACAACGGTGTAATAGTAACGAGGAAAGGAAAACAAAAACTAATGGGACAATTTATTTGTTAGAGTGCCGCAGTAAGTTTATCGTGTCATACCTAACGGATTTCTCATCACCACATAAAAGCTGTGCCAGATATGGTATTGTAGAGTTTTTGTACTTGGTAGTCCTAGCATATAGCCTTCTATAGCTGGTTCTAGTTCTATCAGATGAAATGCAAGGAGATAGCTGCGTATAGAGAGGATGCTCGGGGTCTGACAATATTGTATTCGCTAGTTTCTTACATGACATTATATGTCTATCCACAATAGTGTTAACCAGTTGGTTTAACGATATCCCACTTGCCCTACTAACGGCTTTTAGTGCCCTTCTCAGCAAAGCAGAGTCTTTCTTAAGTAGTCCAGGAAAGATTAATGGGGAGCACTAAAGAGGCATGGGTAAAATGCAAGAATTGACAAACTGAGAAAGCAAAGACTGCTTTATACCAGACTGCCCTAACTTCCTAACGTAGAACGTTAAGCGAAACATCTTTCTAGTAACTAGAAAGATGTGGGAAGACCAGGAAAGATCGGTGGAAAAACTCAGCCCAATGTACTTGACATTAGATGTATTTTCAACCTCTGTGCCGTCAATGATAGTGGGGCCATGTGAGCTAACTAGTCGCTGTAGGTCACATTTACGTCTGAAAGTGAAATTGACTACCTGACATTTAGACGGATTAAGCTTAAGTCCGTTTGATGAGGACCACTGACTAATTTCCGACAGAAAATTATTTAATTTGGAACAATCTGACTGAGAGTTGACAGGCATAGAAACAGAGAGGTCATCAGCATACTTAACAAAAGTGGCTACATCAGAATGAGGCAAGTCATGTAAGAAAAACGAAAACAGAAACGGAGAAAGAACAGCACCTTGAGGAACACCAGCTAAAGTAAGTGAGGTAGTGGGGGACTTTCCATTGTAGACGGTGTACTGCTTCCTATCAGAAAAATAGGAATGTAGCCACTTATTTGTCCAGCTCTCAGCCTGTGTTGCAGCAAGCTTACCTAGCAAGAGAGACCTAGGTAGAGAGTCAAGTGCAGATGTGTAATCAAGGAAGGCACAGCGAACGTATTTATCTCCTTTATCTAAACTAGGTTGATGCCAGTCGCGGTAAATCACGAATCATATATATATATGAAATTATGTTATGATGACAATAATAATATTCAATGTTCAACATTTTTGTTCTTTAACTTTAGGTCAAATATTCCAATGTGACAACTGTGAAAAATCTTTTTCATCTAAAAATATTTTATTAAGACATGTGAGGTCTTCTCATGAAGGTAAATTGTTTCACTTTACACCGTCCCCTAATTTTATTTTTAATAAGGCTTTTTGTTCACCTAGTAATATACATACGTATTAGCCTGCTAACATTTCTTCTCACCTTATCTCATCTATTGATAATAATTATTGAATTTTTCCCGTCGATTGATTGGACCGAAGTGCTCGGTCTCAGGTTGACATGTCGGCTTCTTGTGCAGATGCTTCGACGATGTCTGGGCATTTAATTAGTATACAATTGGTGGATGGTGGCTAGCAGTGGAATCCAGGATGCACATTTCGTCCTATTTGGGACTCGTCAGCTGGATGTACCTGGATTTCTCACCGAAGCTTGAACCCAGTGTCCATAGTTTCAAACGCCAAAGCGTTATCCACTAGACCACTTGGGCCAATTCAATAATTTATATGACCTGTTGCACAAGAGGTGGCTCTTGTGGCCTAAGTGGTCTAGTGGATAACGCTTTGGTGTTTGAAACTATGGGCACTGGGTTCAAGCCTCGGTGGGAATATCATCATCACTGAGAAATGAAGGTACATCCAGATGACGAGTCCCAAATAAGACGAAATGTGCATCATGGATTCCACTGCTAGTCACCATCCACCAATTGTATGTTGATAATAATGCTGATATCAGTTGCATCTCATTGGTTACTGAGGGATTTGAGTAAGTTAAAGTTTGATCACAAACAGATTAGCATTAGTTAGAGTGGTAGGCAGAAATCGGGGAATAGTGAACAGCTGTTTCGTCCTGCCGTGGTAGTCTTCATCAGTACTTACTTAGAACTCATAACTTTCGGGTAACAATGCCAGCTCATTAAGCATTCAGTTACTGAGACAAAATCCATTTGGTAACCCATGAAGTTTAACTTCTACCTATTCGGGATATTTATGTAACACCACAACCAACCAATTTCATCGGGGTGAACGTACCTGTGCTTACACTCAACCTATTGGGCCGAAGTGGTCACGACGTCTCAGCAGAACTTCAGCCAATTTCATCATTCTGTATCCAGTCACTAGTCAGCACAACATTAACGTGCAAGTATTGATTTTTTGGCAGCAGTGTTTAATTGATTTCAATATTGACCACAAACTGACTGATTTCCGTTAGAGAACTATTAGAAACTGGGAAGTACTGAGTGACTGTTTCGTCCTAGTTTAGGATTTTGATTATTTTGTTCACTAAATGTACCCCCAACAGCTGTAGCTCTAGCTGTTGGCTGTTTTCGCAGCTGATTTTAAGGTTGAAGTCGCACCCCACTTTCTCCAACCTGATTGGCTCCTGATTTTTATCATCAGTTATCATATTGAAAGGCATTTCCCAAGTAACTGATTTACGTGACTACGAGTCAGCAAGTTATGCAGAAGAAATATATATTCCCGTCAGGATATGTAGAAAATTAAAGCAAATGATTCAACGAAGAGACTTTCTTCAAAACTTTGACTGACTGGTTTCAACGTAAAACTTTGGACAAATGTGCACCAGTTCGAGTTGACACACTCACTCCATCCATGTAGCACACAAAGCAAGAAAAGAAAGTGAAAAGAGATTCAAAACACAGGCAGCAAAAAGATATATGAGGCAAAAAACAATAGTAATATGGAAGAACAATACAGCCTCATGGGATATTATAAATGACAAGAAGAGGATGCATCGGCAGCAGCCTTGAGTTTGAGCCATATCACCATTTGTCTCCAGCCTTCATTAGTACTTATCATCCCGAGGACCCCAGCCAGTCACTCAGGAAGTTTACACCTCCCTACGTGTCTGGCTTAAACTAACTGTTGTGGATTTCATTTACTGCTCCGTGGAGTAGAGTGCCTTGATCAGTACAATATATTTTCTCGGCATTCTTTTCACAGTCAAACATCGCCATAGTACCTCTCGGTCGACGAAAGGCAATTGGTAGACATATGTAACACATGCCCTAACCATCTCAATCGATGTAACTTCACAGCCTTGTCTATTGATTTCTCCAAGCCAGAGTCGGATAGCGAAGCCAGACCTGTATTAATCTGATGGAATCATTGTAGAAATCTGTTGCACTAGGCATATATATTACGGTTCAGAGATTTGGCGCGCTTGACACAAAAAGCATTTCCAACAGCCTGTTACAAACTTTCATCAATAGGCTGGCTGGCTTCGCTCGATACTGAAGATCAGTTGACCAACCAGACAGGGATTAAGAACAATAAAGAAATGAGAGAATCAATCAACCAACCAAAATCCTATAGCCCAACAAATAGACAGTTGGATTAAGGCACACGGTGGAGACCGTTGAGTGAAATGCACCAACTAGACGCTTGAGTTTGGCGTTATTTCAAGACCGAGGACGTGAGCTTATGGCGAATCGTGGATCCCAGCTAAAGAAAACTTCGGAGAACAGGATGAAATGACGAGGCGTTGTTGAGACGCTATGGTTTCACTCGGAACGTAAGAAGAGAGTGATAATAGTAAAAATTCTTATTTCTCTGATATCTTCTCCTTGTTACAACACTAATTTTTATTCAATATTTTTAAATCAGGTGTCTGTTACAAATGTGATCAATGTGACAAAACATTTTCAAGAAAGTATGATTTAAATCAACATGTAATTTATTGTCATTATGGTAAGGAGATCATGATTTGATCTTGTTGTATGCTTTATATATATATATATATATATATATATATATGTCTATTCAATGTATAGGTTTATTGTTACATTTTGAAGCAAAAGACATTTATGAATAATGTCGCATAGGATTAACAGAATCTACAACAAGATGATTAGAATTTTATGAAAACAGAAAGATTGAGCGAAGAAATATTGACTTTTCAATTAGATCCTCATCTCACTCTGCCTCTACTCCAATCTAATATATCCATAGCATTTTTATTACAATACACAACAGTTTACCAATCAGGTAGTGGCGCTGATATGTTTGTTAGCAATAATTAGTCAGTGTCAAAATGTCAAGGCGACGGGTGATAATCAACGAAGAAAATCAATGGACACAATTAAAAGGTAGAAATGGGTAGGATAAATTAATTTTACAAGGATAACACGTAATTAAAGATGAAGTGGTCAGAAAAAATAAAACTGAAATAATTTGGACAATAATAATTTTTAAAGGTTTAGGGGGAGGGGGCGAAGTAGTCCGGTTTATACATTCATGTAACGATGGCGAAGGTAAGGAAAGTGGCTGTACAAATTTCCTCTGAACACGCAGGTTCGGCTTTTTCTTCAGATGGATTTCTGTTGCTTCAGCTGTAGGTATGTAGAAGACGAACTCGTAGAGCGAAATCAAGATTAGTCGGAATTCGATAAATGATTTTAAATGTAGTATTAACGTCAACCTTATGCTCACTATCTGTCTACAAGGTGTTCTAAATTAGAGCTACAAATAGATCTTGTTTGTCCCTTGCTTAACCATGCTGCAGGATGATGTTCGGAAATACGATGATGAACCTGCCTAATTAGAATTTCGACTAGCATCAATTTCTAAGAGTTGGTTTGTAAGGAATAGATTTGAGTTTACGAGTTTGACCATGGATTGATATCAGTTAGAGAGAACCATTGAAAATCACCACCAGAGGGTACTGGGCAGCTGTTTCTTCCTAGTGTTGGGGACCATCGGCAGCATATACCCGCACTGCGGGGTTCGGATCTTCCGGTTCCAAGACAAGCTGGTATACCATTCAGCCACTTGGACCCGATTAACTGGACAACTCATGAATTCTAACTTCATCTACCAATTCGTGATTTAATGTGACTGGCATCAACCAGTGTCATCGGTGGGAAATCCGTCTTCACAGTTGACTGGATGTGTACCTTACTGGTCACGACTTCTCACTGGAACTCCAGAAATCTACGTCTTGTAGCAAGTCACTGGCGAGCATCGGGTCCCAGTGGCTGAATGGTATACAAGCTTGCCTGGCTGTTAACATTCTGGTCGACAGGCACTCGGACTTATGTGAAAAATGGGCTAAATCCATAATATATAACTCACACCACCCTCTTCATTCACAACTCTCTCCTTGTATCTCATCAGGCACTACTAGAAGCCTATCTAGAAAACTATGTGTTCGTACTAGCAAGTACAAAAACTCAACCATACCCTACTTAGCGCGTGTTCTATGTGATGAAGAAAGAATTAGGCGTAAAACTTGTAACTTATTAAATAGTCAGTAGAACAATCGGATTTCGTCTTTTCAACGTTTTCTTTCTTTCTTTTTATTTTCTCTCATTTTTTGTTATGTGCTGTTTTGTTTCTCTCTTCCTTACAAACTCTACTTAAAACATTCTTCTTCGTTCTTTCACACTCTGTATATCTTGACCTTTTTGTTATCGCTTACGCCAGTAAATATGCTAGTATCTACACTTCTAACACCTTCAAACATTCGGTTCACTTTTGGCCTTGCTAGCGATATTCTAATATGTTGTCAGAATTAACTGAAACTACCCATAATCTATGTAGAATTTTATTTATTGTTAATGTACTAACTGAATGCAATGCTGTAGTGAAATGCTGAGAATTCCATTGTGTATCAAAAGTACTGTTTTGGGATAAAGCAAACTATTATTATTATTATTAATTATTATTGTAACCGGAAGGTCCTAGGCTCGAAACCCAGTGTGTATGTACTGATTACGAGTCCTAAATTAGGAAGAAACAGCTGTCCAGTACTCCCTGGTTGGTTTTCAATGGTTCTCTAACTGATATAAACCCCTGATCAAAAGTCGTATTAACGTTAATGTCAAGTCAGTTCATAAACTTAGCTCATCACTGTGGAAGCACTTTCGACAAGCCACTAAAGAGCTGCCTTCGTAGATTAGCTAAGCGACCTGAAAGGATGAAAAAAGCGAAGGACTTCTGTGCGCAGAGAATCATCATTAACAAATATGCCTAAGGAAAGGAAAGTAAATCCAGGTTGAAGTGACACTCAAGTGACTTGACACACATCCACCCCACGAGTGGAGCGTAAATGGAAGGTGATGGGTTAGACGTCCTAGAGTAGAGATGAAATGAAAACTTGTGGAGGGTCGTATGGACAGCTTAAAGTGATATCAAAGAAGAGGAATGGAAAATAGAGATACTATCGGAATTCTGCCTTCCACTCGGAACTCAAGAACAATCCTAAAATGTTGACCCGACTTTTTAATTATTGAATATTCGTTGCAGTATATAAATTGTGCTATGGTTAATGACAACAGAATTTTGCATAAAACTCCATAGTAAAACTGATGAGGAGTTGCCTACCACTCATATCAACCTGTGGTGTGGTACTTACTAGCAAGGTCGAGGTAATCTACACACTGCACGGCCGTTTCACTCGTTTGGGGCCAAGCCTCAGAAATACGGTAAAAAGAGCATACCCTGCTGCTGAATTACGCTGTGTCTCCAAAAGTACCCGCTATTTTGCATTCGGGAGTAAAAGATAAACTGCCCAATTTCGCCTCTTCCATGTGTATGTACATATTTCACTGCTCCTGTGGAGTGAGCCAGTTAGCTGCATAGGCCGTACGATTATACATGTTTCTCGTCGCGTTTTCGAACATCACCCTACTTTGTGGTTAAGTGAAGGACAAACAAAATCCATTCGCATAGCGCTATTCTATCTCATCTTGTGGATACATAACACAAGATTGATGTAAACAAGATGGCTTTCAAAGTCAAAGAGTTCGTCTACTACATATTGATGAGGCTGGCTGTTGCGGTCTACACTGAGAAACCTAACTAGTGTGTGTATCCAAGAGAAGCTGGTTGGTTCAGACATTGTCTCTACCTTGGCCATCTATGTTTGAATAATCCTCAGTGTGTTGTGGAAATTTCCTTAATTTTCTTTATTATTCTATTTGCTATTATATTTTTATTATTATTATTATTATAATTTAAGCATCTTTAATGAACTGTAATTCAATTGTGATCTTACTTTATAAATCGATATTATTAAAAAAAATACTAATAGTGTTAATGACGGTTATTCTAAAATATTCTATGTATATAAACATGCAGATATAATTGTAGAGCTGGAAGAGGAAATTATCGAAAAGGATATTCTTTGCTCAATCATATTGTGTTTTCTAGATGTCTGAATGAATATTTTCGCTATATTTTAGATAATTGGCTATTTATATTCGACTTATGAGTTGTATTTCTTTGCGTTCGGAAGTGATTCTATTGGTTTGTATGCAACATTAATTCCTAAAGCTGTTTGAAGAAACTTACAATGAAAATCGTCTTACTGTACACATAAAGAACGTCTCAGAAATCACTGCAAGACTTTTTAAACTTTTAGCAATTGATGTCTCACACGAACCAATAAATCACTTCACTCGGCTGTAATGTCGACCCCAAAGTCTCAATAATGTAAGAAGATAAAACCAATATCATCTACAAAATAAATTGCAATGGCTACGAAAAGCACTACACTGGCCAAAGTGAACTCCCTCTTGGTCTTCACACCTATGAATACAAACTGGACGTCGAAAGATATGATATTCAATCTCTCATATCGATGCATACAGACAACCATGTGGACATAAATTCTATTGGGGCAACGTTCATGTATATTGGACAGAGGAAACACCAAGAAAGCCAGAAAATTTTTGGAGGCTTGCCATTCCAGTGAATCAGCAATTAACATGGAAATTGACATAGATAATATCTACCAATCAAAAAGAAGGAAATCTTATGTACAAAAAGCCAAATTTCAGGTCAAGGAAACAATCAATCAATTAATCAATACAAGTAGACTATAGGATAGGAAAACACATAAAAACAGCTAATCAATTTCAAGGTCGTCAGAAGAAATGACTCATAAACTCGTGGAGAAATTTAAAAGCTCACTCCAGTTCCAAATTGAAGTATGCGATGGAAGATGTTGCTTCGTAAATAAACCATCCAGCTTCTCAGAGGACACAAATACGTGAAAATCATCCATCTGAGCTACAAATCTTCTCAACCATATCTAATCAATAATGACGTTGAAAATGTGACTACGCTGCATAGCTGGGCATTTTAAGTCACTGCTAAAATTAATACGTAGCTTTAAACTTGAATGGGTGAAGTTAAAGTATCACGACCCGTGGAATGAGAACGCACGAGTGCCCCTGAGCCGACCAATCATGTCAATAAGTGATTTTCAAGGGTAAAAATGGCGTTTTAATCCACAAAGAAATGCATGAAAACACATTAAATGGGGTATTTTTCTGTGACATGACATATAATGAGAAGTAGCAGTTTTTAAGTTAGACCAGTTTTTAGAAAACAGAAAGATTGAGCGACGAAATATTGACTTTTCAATTAGATCCTCATCTCATTCTGCCTCTACTCTACTCTAATATATATCCATAGCATTTTTATTACAATACCCAACAGTTTACCAATCAACTGGCGCTGATATGTTTGTTAACAATAATTAGTCAGTGTCAAAATGTCAAGGCGACGGGTGATAATTAACGAAGAAAATCAATGGACACAATTAAAAGGTAGAAATGGGTAGGATAAATTAATTTTACAAGGATAACACGTAATTAAAGGTGAAGTGGTCAGAAAAAATGAAACTGAAATAATTTGGACAATAATAATTTTTAAAGGTTTAGGGGGAGGGGGCGAAGTAGTCCGGTTTATACATTCATGTAACGATGGCGAAGGTAGAGAAAGTGGCTGTACAAATTTCCTCTGAACACGCAGGTTTGGCTTTTTCTTCAGATGGATTTCTATTGCTTCAGCTGTAGGTATGTAGAAGACGAACTCGTAGAGCAAAATTAAGATTAGTAGGAATTTGATGGATAATTTTAAATGTAGTATTAACATCAACCTTATGCTCACTATCTGTCTAGAAGGTGTTCTAAATTAGAGCTACAATAGATGTTGTTTGTCCCTTGCTTAACCATGTTGAATGATGTTTTGTACACGTTTTCACCGAGGTGACTGAAGATGAGCTTTTTACGCCTGTTTACCACGCTTGTTATATTCTGAGGTCTTCCGCAAAAGTCATCAGTGAATTTATTGTGGTTTCCAGTAAGACAGATACTGCCCAATTTCTCCTCTTCTATTTATAAATCCCATCTTAACTGCTCCTGTTGAGCCAGTTAGTCGCATAGGCCGTACAATTAGGCGTGTTTGTCGTCGAACTTCCGAATATCACTCTGCATAATTAAGTAAAGGACAAACAAAATCTATTTATAGCGCTATTATCTCTCATCTTGTGGATGCATAACGCAAGATTGATGTTTACGAGGAAGCTTTCAGCGGCATTTACCGCATACCTACGAATCTCAATTTTGCCTTAAGAGTTAGACTACTAAATATTGCTGAGGTCGGCTGTGGTGATCCATATTAACAAGGCTAATTTGTGCATTCAAAAGAAGTTAGTTCAGACATTATCCTTACCTTGGCCATCTAGGTTTGAATGATCCTCATTGTGCTGTGGAAATTTCCTTAATTTTAAGTTGATATTCTATTTGCTACTATATCTTTATTATTAGTATAATTTAAGCATCTTTAATGAACTGTAATTCGATTGATCTTATTTAACGAATCGATATTATTCGAAAAACACTAATATTTAGAATATTCTATGCAGCATATAAACATATAGATAAAATTGTAGAGGTGGAAGAGGACATTATCGAAGAGTATATTGTTTGCCCAATTATATTTTCTGAATGAATATTTTTGCTATAATACACATTGTCGAAAAGTACTTAAAAACGGGATCGGGGTGAAATTTACGCCTTAATTCGTGAATGGTGTTCACATTGGTGCTATAATAATGGCAGGTCTCGTTTTCCAGCGGCTAGCGTCAGTTCGAGGTCATTGGGACATTCGCGCCACTGATACTTTAACTTCAACTTAAATATCTAACTGTCACCACATTGCGTGCTCTCAATTCGTAATCACAGTTGATGTGATTCCATCGAATCATGATGTCGTTTACTGCATAGCATTTTTGTGTCATTCCAGTGCTTTCTGACTGCGATCGACGACTTTAGGATTTGCAGTCTCAGTAGCCATGTGGTTGGTTATTCTTGGGGGTTGAAGTTATTAGCCTCAGAACCAACCTTCCCTATTCTCGAGACTTATAGTCGTCTAGGTGAGGTTTAGGAGTGCGCCATCTGGGAATCCAACCTGGAGGCTTCATGGTGTCTGATGTGCTTTCTACCACTGTACTTTCTCTTATTTAGGTGTCAAGCGTATACATATATATGCTGCTACGTTGTGTTTAAAGTTCAAAATCAATCGGGTACGATTGGGACTTTGGAAAGAACACTTTGAGGAGCAGTTTCATTGGCCTACAACCACTCTTAACTTACCGAACATCCAACACCTCCTTGAATGGGATATAGACACAGGTCCCCAGTCCATAATGAGGTTACTAAAGGTGTCACTAGCCTGAAAAGAGGCAAAGCAGCAGGACCTGATGGAATGATTCCAGAGGTATTTAAGTACGGTAGAGACAGTTTACTCTCTGCGTTAACTAAGGTATTAGGGAGCGTCTGGGAATCAGAGGAAGCCCCATCGGGTTGATGTAAGTCATTGATTATCCCCATATGCAAGAAGTGAGACGTCTTCCTGTGATAATGTTAAGCGCGAAACCTATGACTTGTTTTGTTGTTAATAACATAATTTTGGCTCTTTTATTTCTCTCTTATTTGTATTCTATAGTGACCATACTTAGCTACCTAAATTATTAACATTGGCTTACTTTTTTGTACTTTACTCTATTCCTTCTTTTGTGTATCTACTGGTTCCGACTACATTATCACTGTGAGTGTTACAAAATTGTTCTGTCATTAACCATCATGTAATATTAGTTTTGTGGTTGTTTTTTATTCGGCAATATTAACTGACAATCTTGGTTGTCAACGCCATTATTACCATCTTGAAAATTTTGTATTATGCAGGATAACTCACACTACCACTACAAACACCGCATTAGAGCTGACGATAAAAAACCCTGAAATGTTCATTTTACGATTGTTTAGTGTTGTTCAATCAAATTAACTGATCATCTTGGCGATAAACATTCTTAATATCATTTCATAACTTCTTGTATGATTATAGCTGTTACTGTTCACCACGCATAAACATATCATACCTTCCACTATCCAATGCTGGGATATTATTTATTATGTTGTTTATTTTCCATTCTACTTCTTAGTGTTTTTCGCATTTTTTTTGCTATTTTGTGTTTTTGTTGTTTTTTATGTTTATTTTTTGAAATACTCCTTTTAAATGTTTGATAAAATTAGATGCAATATGGTAGATAAGTGCTGAAAATTCTACACTGTATCACTAGTACTGTTTCTGGAATAAAGCAAATTATTATTATTATAATCATAGGGGGATTAGCTTGACTAATATGGTATCTAAAGTTCTAGATTCAATAATAATGCGTAGAGTAAGCGGTCCACGAGAGCAACAAACACGAGAAAACCAACAGGCTTTAGACCAGGGCGAGGGTATTTGCATCATATATTCACCCTTCGACAGATTCTGGAACATAGGCATACTTACCGTCGGCGTCCAACAATCGTTATATTTCTTGACCTGGAAGCTGTATTCGATTCTGTCGTCGAGAGATACTCTGACGACGCTTAGCTGTAAAGGGAATTCCGAAAAAATACATTGTACTGATCAAGGCACTCTACTCACGGAGCAGTAAATGAAATCCACAACAGTTAGTTTAAGCCAGCCACGTAGGGAGGTGTAGACTTCCTGATTGGCTGATTGGGGTCCTCAGGATGATAAGAACCAATGACGGTGGCTGGAGACAATTGGTGATATGGCTCAAGCTCATCGTTGTCGGTGAGATGGCTGGTGCAGATGTATCCTTTCTTGGTCATTTATAATATCCAATAAAACTCTACTATTGTTCTTCCATATTGCTATTCTTTTTGCTTCATATTTCTGTCTTGAATCTCACTTTACCAAATCTCTTCTCTTGCTTTGTGTGCTATACATAGAGGGAGTGTGTCAACTGGAACTGCTGCACATTTGTGCAAAGTTCTACGTTGAAACCAGTCAGTCAGGGTATGGATATTTGTATAGATGTATTTTTCTTAAGAACGATTACTGAACAAAGAATACCCTTTTCGATAACTGCATCATCAGGTTCTTTTTGTTTTGTTTTTAACTTACAGAAATTTCTTTAGAGTCAAACAGCTTAAATGGCGTATCCCTTAAAGAAGATACACTACAGAAGCCTGTTGAAATTCCTGATCAAAGTGAGTATTGTTAATTAGCTAATGTTACTTTTATTCCTTCCTGTTGTTTGGTTTATATGTATACTTAAATGGTGATTGAAAATTCTGTCGTTTCCATGGTACCTATCTGTACGGTTGTAGTAGACTTTCATCTATATCCTCTTGTTGTTTAAGATGAATTGTTGTCAATTTGTTGGGAGTATTCAGTAAGAAACCTTGAGCTGATGCCTCGTGTCTATTGGCACACTCAACAGCAAGTCAGATTTACAACCTTGAAAGAAGAACTGATTATTCCCCTCGAAAATTTTCACCTGAGCCACCTAGTGCTACAGTCCAGGAGGTTACCGTTAGAGCACTTTTGTGACCACACAGTGTGCCCGTCACAGTCCTACAGAAGATGGATTGTTATGCCAAATACCTCAGTGGTAACGTCTCTTTTGTGGAGATATTAGTTCCTTCAAGGTTCGGATACACCTTTCTGATGGCTACTGACGAGTAAGAGGCGTAGCTCCAGGACTTTCTGCTGATTGTCTCCAAGGTATACGATATTATTCCAGTGTTCAGTCAGTATCCAACTTCTAGGAATGAATGCATTATATGGATTACCCCGCTAGTGACTGACCAATCTACGATTGGTTTAGTTTGTAGTGCACCACGCCCTCTGTCTAACTTAGAGTTAGAAAAACAATATGGGTTTGACGACTTCTGAGGCTTTAATGTAATCTTTATTCATTAATTATCGTAAAACACGATTTAAACCTTGAGTTGGCTAAACGTAATCCACACACTCCAATCACTTCAGTCTGTAAGATTTGGACGAAGGTGGACGATGATCAAGAGAGCTCTGTGTGGTCATAGAATTGTGTCGGCGGTTATTACATCCCGGATTCGTGCACCTTAGAAGTTGGTTTTTTATTTAGTTATCGGGTGACTGACGGGTTTCAATGTAGAAGTGCAGCAGTTCAAGCTGGACACGAAGAAGAAGACACGAGAGAAAGAAGGGATTTAAAAGAATGAGAATAAGGAGAAATGGGAGGAAGCAGAACAATAAGGTTTAACTGTTATAGGAGATCACAAAGTGTTAATGCATCTGCGCCATCGTTTAGAACGATTTCGAACCATATCATCAATCGCTCCAGACATTGATTTTTAGAATCAAGTGGATCCCAGCAAGTTTACACCTCTCTATGTGGCTGTCTCAAACTAACTGTCGAAGATTTTCTGAACTGGTTCCAAGTTTCGATTTAACCACCACTACGACCCTTTTTCAACCTGATTCTATGTTAGTTAACATTGCTCATCGAGGAAGGCGATGGCTAGGCATGTCTAGCACTTATTCCAACTATCACAGTCATTGTTGCTTCAAAGTCTAATTGGTCGACTTTCCCTCCTTACCTAACATTCGACACCTTGACCTCACTGTGGTCTAACCAAAACCTGGCATGAATATATGAAGTCACTGATTGTTGGTTGGTTAGAAGTGTAAATTGCCTGGATGGGTCCTCGAGAAACTAAGAACCAAAGTTCACCGACTGTTGGTGATCTGATTCAAAATTGATCACTGTTTGTAACCTCCTGAGATTCATCAAAATTCTGGTTTCTTCTCTTCCATTCCTTTGTGTTCAAAAGAAACTCGTTCAACGTTTACATTCGGTTTGTCTTTTTAGGTGTCGTGTTTTCATCTGCTTCATTTCCCTTTATTCTTCTTTTCTTCTTTTTCACTTTCATTTTATAAAATATAATTCTTCGAATTTGTTCCCATGCTCATCCCATTCACACCTTTATTCGTTAAAAAGCTATTTTCTAATCCTGTATAATTTTTTCTAAAACCCCTGTTGTAACCTATTTTCGCACCCTCGAACTTTCATATCAAAATTATTTCTCCAGCTATCGAAATATTTATTTTTACATGAATCGTAACAATTTCCCATTCCTATGTGATCTTGTCTCTAAGCCCCCGGGTAATCTATAATCGATATTCACACCCTCAAACTTTCATGTTAGTTGAAAGTTATTATGACCTTTAAACTCCCTTCGTTACTACGTGAAATTAAATAATAATAATAATAAAAGTAATAATAATATTAATGATAATTGTATCTGTGTGAATTTATGTATGTAAATACGATTGTACAGCTGCTTTTGACAATGAAATCACCGAAAAGATCACCGACTTCGCTGAACCTTTTGTTATTTTCTCTCCAATTCACTTGAAAGCTATCAAACAAGGGATTACATATATGAATAAATAGATGACTGACTATTAGTTAATTGGAGGCAATAGGCGGCAGAAAGGCTTTCACTTGCGGTATAATGGTGAGCCACCTAGTGGCATGGTGGCCATATTGTGAATTAGACTGAAACTAAGAACTAGACACACATTACACTAATTCCTAACTAATGTCCAATCAAAAAAGTAAATGAATGACTGATTGTAGTTGTCACGTAGAACTTTGCAGAGAAACGCATCATTTCAAGTTGGTATACTCTGAGTAACAGAAAAAAGTTGAGAAAGTAGAGAAAAGAAATTTAGAAAGAGTTTGATGAGCAAAATTGGAATGGAGAAGGAATGCTAATATGCGAAAACATGAGGAATTGATGGATCTGTGGAGATTACAAACAGTGGATGTCTCTATGACATCATTGAGAATGATTTTGAGGCATATCACCAACAGTCTGAAGCCGTTGCTGTCGAGCGTCTCGAGTAACCCTGTCGAGCAGATCACACCTTCCTATATGATTCAAATTAGGAGTCAAATAAATAAACGTCGTGACCAGTAGGGTGCAGCCGGTCGGGTGTGAAGACAAATACTCGCCGAAGACATTCACTAGGAGTCGTGCTATATCGTGAATTGGCAGAAGTTAGAATTCATGGGCCATTGGATCGGGTTCCAGTGGCTGAATGGTATACGCGCTGGCCTTGTAACCAGTAGGTCCTGAGTTCGAATCCCGGTGGGTGCGTACTGATCAAGAGTCCCAAACTAGGACGAAACAGCTGTCCAGTACTCCAAGGTTTTCCAATGGTTCTCTAACCAATGTCAGCTCATGATGAAATCCTGTAAAGGTTCATCTTTCATCCTTTATCTATCATAATTTATCAAGCAAATCAAGTGTTTGAAACAGTCAAGGACTTCATGGATTGTTGTCAGGGTTTGATTCGCTTACCCCTAACTCTTTTCCCACCTCAGAAGAATGGGGAAGTTCAGATGTGAGGCTAACAACTCCATCCCTTTGAGACAACACTCCCAATATTGAAACTTCTAGGTGTAATGCCATATTTTTCAGGCGAAGCGATAAGAAGAGGTAGTTTTTCCCAATACTGTAACGCATTGGGGGACAGATTTCGAACAATCTGATTACACACGGACTTGTCATGCGAATAAAGTTGATTGGACATAAGAAGGAGTTAAAGGGTGAGAAAATAGACTTAGGTCAAGTTAAAAGGAGGACATATTGAAGGTCAAAACAACAATGGCGACCAGTAAAGCAAAGAAGGGAGGTGATAGGAGATCTACATTGGCTGGTATGAAAACAAAGTTTACCAAGGAAGGTTTGTTGTGATAATTAAATTGTTTTGGTTTAAACATCCAAATTGCTAGGTTTTTATTGACAAAATTTAGGTTACGCCCACTCCAAACACGTTTTTGGAGATAGGTTTAAAAGTCATGTATAGAGATCAATTTTATATCGTATCTCTATAATGTTTCTGAATAGAGGAACTAGGTCGTCAATTCTCACTATTGATGGGTTCTGGAGATTTAGTTTGGTGCTGATGTCACTTAGAATTATGCATTGATGCCCTTCTTTGCAAAGATTGATGCGTCCTCCCTATGCGTGTGTGTGTGTGTCTAAACGTAAATTTCAGTTGGCAAATATAGTGAGATTTGACTTCATTTTTAACATGTTCGAGGAGATTAGATGAGTGTATGGCGTGCATATTCTCAGTTATACTGATCTGATAAGTTTTCAGACTGTAGATGTTACCAACCTCCTGGAATAATTTGAACACCAAGTAAGATTGATTCATTATAAATTATTTAAATTATTTCCAGCTTGTTTAAAAAAAATTTTGTTTTGATTTTTTTCTTAAACACACTGGGATTAATTTGAATAGTTTCTACTGATCTTAGTTGTAAAAATACACTTTTCAAACCGCAGTGCTCAATCTTTGTCGAGTTACCAAGTTGCTGTGATCATCCATACTGATGAGGATGGCTTGTTTATACACGTCTGTCTTGGTGGAGAGTTGAAGAATTGGTTTCAATGGGAACACAAAAGAATGGAAGGGAAACAACCAGAATTTGATGAATTAAGCAGGTTACAAAGAGTGATCAGTTTTAAAATCAGATCAGTAACAGTCATCGAGCATTAGTGTTTAGTTTAGTGTTTCGAGGACTCCATCCAGGCAGTTTACACTTCAAACCAACCAACAAGGAGTAACTTCAACACAATGATGCCAAGTTTTGATTAGACCATCATCTAACCTTTCTCTAACCTAATCCCTTATATCATCTAACAAGCATAGATCAATTTACAGTACATTGAATATCTAATCTTGCTTGAATGGACCATAATAACAACAACAGCAATAATACGAACATACTTTCATGAAGCGTTAATTCATGCTCTTTCAAGGTACTTCCATATTAGTTTGTTTATTAGATGTATCACTCACAGTGAGTGAAACAGTATTATTTACTGGATGACAAGGTTTCGAACAAAATTTATTACTGTTCATAATCATATCAATTGTGATCACACTACTTTGAAATTTGAGTTTTATAGTTTTCTTTGTCTTCTCCTATTTGTCGTCGTTGGGGTAGTAGAATTTTTCATATATCTGGGACCGGTGTTGAATCATTTCTATTACATGTATTTGCAGTTGATTCGATAAACAAAGCTTCTGTTATCAATCCTCCCTCCCTACACCCTGTGACATTACATTTTAAAACTGTCATCCTATCCCATCCATCCTATTGTATGGTTGTGTGTAACTGCATGTAGTGAGTGCTATAGCTGAACTATTCTCTAGATTTTTTATCTTATTTGGGTCAACCAATCTAGATTTAGCTAGGTTTTTATGTTCGGCTAGTCTGACTGTCCCTGTTCTACTAGTTTGACCTATGTATTTGAGCTGACAATCATTGCAGGCAGGGTATTAGACAAACTTAATTGTTTTGTTTTAAAGGCTCCACAGGATCCTCCACTTAACCGACAAAGCTTGATTCTAATTGAGTTTAAGGGTTTGAATGCCAGCCACTTTTATTCCTGCCTTGTTAAGTATTCTGCGTAAGGCTTCCTAGGTTCCTTCCTTGTATGGAATTACTCTTGATGATTTAGATTCCTTATTGTTGGTGTCGTCATTAATATTATTATTATTATCACTATCACTATTATAATTACTTATTTTATTTTTACATTTACTTACATATTTCTTGATTAATTTATCCGGGTAATTATTAAGTTTCAGGGCTTCTTTTATGTGTATCACTTCCCGTCTTAGATTTTCCTTAGTACTACTTAGTTTTTGCGCTCTGTCATTTAAACATTTCAATAATCCTATTTTTACTAAAATAGGATGGGATGATCGGAAATCCAAATATCTGTTTGAATGTGTGGGTTTTCTGTAAACACTCACTAGTGTTTAACTTCCCATCTTCTTTCTTTCTTTACTCTACAATCTAACATTGGAAGCTCCTCTTCCTGAATTACCAATTCATAAGTGAATTGAATTGCCTCCAGCTTTGAGTTAATGTGCTCGAAATATCTATCTATATCTTGTGTTCTAAGTACAGTGAATGTGTCGGTTAAAGGACCAATCTTGTGGATCCTTTAAAACAAAACAATTTAGTTTATCTAGTACCCTGCAATGATTGTTAGGTCAAATACACGGATGGGTTATAATAGTGGAACAGAGTCAGTCAGTCAGGCTAGTGGGGCATAGAAACCTAGCTAAATCTAGATTGGTTGACCCAAATAAGATAAAAAGTCTAGAGAATAGTTCAGCCATAGCACTACATGCAATCACACACAACCATACAATAGGATGGATGGGATAGGATGACAGTTTTAAAATGTAATGTCACAGGGTATAGGGAGGGATTGATAACAGAAGCTTTGTTTATCGAATCAACTGCAAATACATGTAATAGAAATGATTCAACACCTGTCCCAGATATATGGAAAATTCTACTACCATTACGAGAAATAGGAGAAAACAAAGAGAACTTTAAAACTCAAAGTCGTGTGATTACAATTAATGAAATGATTATGAACAGTAATAAATTTTGTTCGAAACCTTGTCATCCAGTAAAGAATATTGTTTCACTCATTGTGTGACACATCTAATAACAAACTAATATGGAATATTACTTACTACCACAGTGCCCAAGTTTTACACATATGTCTTTCAAGGTACTACTACTGCTGGTAAATGTTATATAGCGCTGATAGCATTTGAAGATAATGGTGCCCTCCAATGAAACGTAATCGAAGTCAACAGTTCAAACCTATGACAGTACTGATGTGGATGTGAAGAAAAAGCGTAATAATAATGTTTGTTGGCGAAGTTAAACTTTAAGCACCACTAACTACCAATCAGCAAATGACCTCGAACTTTAACCAGTCTTGTGAAGGAAGCATTTTCGTGAATGGAATACATATTTATTTATGAAAAACAATGCATAAAAACTGTAGAAAGGTGTTACAGAAGATAATTTGCTCTCACTTATGATAAAAATAGGGCGAGGTTCAACAATAGTGTCACAGGAGTGTGAACGCTCCAATGACCTCGAACGCATGCTAATCGTTGGCTCTCAGTCTCTCAGAGTATCAACAGAGTATAAATCCTATTTTTAACTCAATTATAGATTTTCCTGGATTGCAGACACGTCCAGATGACGAGTCCCAAATAGGGCGAAATGCGTATCCTGGAGTCCACTGCTAGTCACTATCCACCGAGTATAATTCCATTGTGGGTAAAATTTATTTTGATAAAGTCTCATAGTGTACTACGGAAACATTTCCTGAGCAATAAATTGTGTTTGAAACGTAGTCAGGAAATATGACTTTATAACACTGTGAAACTTTATTAAAATTAATGTTACTCACAATGGAATTATACTCTGCCATAGTGCACAAGTGCTATTCATCATATATCAACAGAATAATTAAACCACATTCTATGCATGTAATTACTTAAGTTTTCTAAACCTAACAATAAACCCTCATCTTTCCTGAACCTATCCGTAGCGTGACAATATCCCTAAACTGTAATCTAACTCGAATCAACCATAATGTCGCTTTTATTAGATTAACCTAACCTTGAATTGTCCTTGGCTTAGACGAACATTTCTTATTGATGATGACAACATTATTTTGCCAGGTTTCACTGACTCCCTCAGTGAGCGTTTCGAGGTCATTGGTGCAGTCGCACTCCAGTGGTAGTCATTGGTGCTTGAAGTTTAACTTGACTCTTTTTTATTTGAGATATATATGACACGATGGCTAATCAGTGTTATCACTGTGTGTGTGTGTGTTTGGCCTCTCACGTAATTCAGTAGTCGCCATTCACCACTGTTCGTGGTGAGTGAATGCTCAACTTGACTCTGTCGAATCTTGAAACTTCTTTATAGGTCTCTGTCATATATGGTGATCTCAATGATTCTGAACATATCCTTGGTTATAGAAGACTCCGCCTAATATGCATAATACTATGTACGGTAACTAATGTGAAACAACAAAGAACGAAAGGCGGTACGATTGTTTATTGCCTCACCGATGAAGAGACGAAAATATAGGTGACTGTCAGGAGATTCTGTAAATGAACATTAGTAAGATTATGTATGATTATACTTTTGATCGTATATCTTCCCGCCATATGGAGACCAGTTCAAATAAGCAAACGATTCAATATTCACCAGCTTTGATAGATCCCCTATTGGGGAAGGTTATGGGTGCTGAGATGAAACACTTGTGTGTTATTTTTCAATGCTTCTCGCCAACTGAAATCCTTTCTTCCCCCAGCGAAAAACACTTAAAAATTAATGTACCGGTGATAAGTGAGTGACTGTAGGATGAAACTGCGTGGAATCCTACTGAAGATGAATCGTAATTAGCGGGGTCCACCAGTTTGAGCGTAGGAACAGATTCTCACAGATTACAATATCTAGTGGGATCGCTAATATGTATTTCAAATATTCTTCTGTTTTACTGATTCACCGTTATTTTCAAATTTTCTAATAGTCGGTCATGTACAACAAATTTTCTTCAACAATTTTTGATTTTATTTATATTTTTAAAATTTCTTCAGTTTACTGCTTATCTTATTTAAGTAGTGTAGTGAAGGATATTTCAAATGATTCTCTGCATATTCATAAAAATTCTGTCGTGTTTGTATTTATTTCAATCAATATTAGGTGCACTTTTCAAATGTAAACAAAGTGATAACATATTTTCACGTATGTCTCGTCTACATGAACATCGAATATCTCATGAATGTGAGTTTTTTCTTTATATTGAAGTGGAAGAATAATTACTATTCTTCATTATATATTATGTTATTTTGACAGGAACCAATATCAATTAGAGATGAAGAAGCTCGAGATAGCTGTTTCGTTCTAGTATAGATGGGACTCTTCAGTAATTAACTCATCCTTCATCCGACTAGAGAAACCTTTAGGTTACCAGGCGATCCTGTGGACTATTCAGCCACTGGATTTGATCTCCCCGTGGTCGTTGACTTATGGCTTTTGTGAATTCATGATGTAGTCGCACCGCCAGTTAAAGTAATTGATGGAGGTCGTCTGCATACCTGGCATGTTACACTACATTGACTGCAACTTTGTGACTTGAATATGGATATGCTGGAATTCGGATGGATTATCGCGGTTAGATTCCAACCCAGCAACTCCAATTTTCAATGGGCTGTGCTCTTAACCTCAGGGTCATGGGTTAATTCCTAATAGTCTCGTGTTTGGTCATTGAGTAGGAGCCCCTAACTGGGAATAAATAGTTATTCAGCGTCATTATTATGGTTTTCAGTGATTCTGTAACCTTTGTCGGTTCTGCGATCTAACTCTATTTTCCAAGGTGCAACATTCTCCCCCCCTTTCCGGCATTAAGTTGACCGAGAATTAATTCGGAAACTACTTCAACACTACGGCATACACTGTCCGAGTCTTTATAAAACCTCATTCAACAGCTAGCTATATGACAGTGCTACGTGTGAGGTGATCTTTAATGGAAAACTCACCGAGGCGTTCTAAGTGAACTCAGAATTAAGACAAGCTGACTGCCTATTATCACCGATGATATTCTTAATTTTGGTGGACTGGATTATTTATTTTAATTTTTTTCATTTTTGATTACAGCTTGATTCCACACTGTTTTTTTTTTCGGTACAAGTATGGAATTTTCAGCATGGATATTGGTAGCCCAAATTTAGCAGGCCGACCATAGATATCAGGTGTGTGTGTCGGTCGGTAGGGGATTGAACCTCAGATCATGTGCGCATGGTCGGCGAGAGTCCTAACCACTGTGCCACCGACGCACTGGGGAAATGGATGATAAGCTCGGCCTATAACAAGTGCAACTGCTGTCCAACTTTTGGATTGTTTCAATTTGGTCAACAACCACTACTGGTTGATGCAAGTGATGTCTAACTACTCATATCTCAGCTAACCAGTAGTATATAGCATGATGCAATTTTAGTCCTTCTCATCTCTGACATGATCACAATTTTTACTGGACAAATTCATTATATTAGAATAGGCACAAAATACCTTAGGGAAATTATTTCCTCTTAGTTTTTCGTGTTCTAATTACACTCGTATCGCTAAGGGACTTTATCTTTGTGAAAATTAAAGTTTTCTTTGAAAGTCTTACCTAATGCAGGCAATTCTCGTTTAATCAGTCTATACGGACGTGATTTATTTACGTGAATAATACGCTTTAATTTATTTGTTTTATGCTATCAATATTTTGACAAAATTGCGAAAGGTGATCATTAGCGTTTCAAAACTTTAATTAGTTGTGATGGAGAAGATTTGCGGTTCATGTGGATAATTTTGATGTAGTTGTGTTCACTAAGCAGCTGGATGGTTTATTTGCAAAGCTTTTCATCATTGTCCTACTAAGCAACATCTTCAGGGCATACTTCAATTTGATGAAGTGAGCTTTTATATTTCTCCACGAGTTTATTAGTCATCTCCCTTGGTAACCTTGGACATGATTGGTTGTTTTGTGTCAATACAAGTAGCCTGGTGTGTGTGAAAACACACAAAAACGACCAATCACATTCTAGGTCACCCACCAGAAAAGATGGCTAATAAACTCATGGAGAAATCTAAAAGCTAAAATTGAAGTATGCGCTGAAAATGTTGCCTAGTAGGGCAATGATGAAAGCTTCACAATTGAACCATCCAGCTCAGTTATTATTCCCTTGGGTTCCTAGTGGAATATAGGACTTCAACAGCACATCTCCACTTTGTCCTACCCTGTTGCTTTCTGCTCAGATGCATGGCTCCACGATCGCCCAAAATCTTTCATCTCCTCTTCGTACGATCTTCTCCATGTCAACCTCTCACCGACTGACTACCCACTCGTCACTCCCCATTGGGGTCCCACTCGAGGGCCTGGTGCGCGACTTCATTCGACCACCGTTAGGTGGTAATTAATTAAGATCCATAGTTCCATATCGATTGATGTTTCGTTGTAGGCTTTCTGTCAACTAACCCATTTTAACATTCAAAAACAGGTTTACGGTGCACACTAGTGGGCACTCGTGGACCCAGATGTTGAGGGCAGTAAAAATTAGAACAGAATAGAGATGTGTTGTTGAAGCCCTGTTCCACTTGGAACCCGAGGGATTACTAATAGTAATAACGATCTATTCGCATACTTAATTTACTGACATAAGGGATCATTCGTGATCTGCATATATATAACTTAATGGTGAAGTGTACTGGGTAATGCAAGTTGGATTTATATAAGGTTAGGAATTTAAACGAATTTTGCCGTTACACCCGTTGGATCTCTGACGAAAATCACTATATCTGTCATTGAGCTGGTTTCAACAACTCATTATACTTATGTGTTTCCTCGAATCAAAGTCATTGACCAGTGGTTCTTAGTTGTGCTAGGGCATTCTGAATAAGTGGAATGAGAAAGGGCTTTAGGCGAGCATGTATGCTTCCATATTCAGCTGGTTGCAACCTCGAAGCGGCCGCCAAACCTTTGTTTCCCACTTCGATTCTACTAAGCAACCTAACAGGAGTTTGGTGTTACTTGAAAGCCTATTTACTCAGAGTATGTTTAATCCACTCCTCTCCCTTCTGCATATATGCTGGGTTATAAGTTGTTTGCTGGTTCTCTGCCTACCCGACTTCTTTGTTCCGTAATTTTGTTTTGCTTGCCGGTTATCTGGTCGTTACAATTGAGTTTACTAATTTACTAACGAGTCCTAACAACCCCGTCTGTAATAAAACTGAAGTAGTTAATTTGTAGTATGACATCATATTGATATCAGTTAGAGAATCATTGAAAACCAACAGGATTTACTAGACAGATGTTTCGTCTCAACCGGAGACTCTCCATCAGTACACACCGTAATTCGACCTAAGAACCTTCCGGTTGCAAGGCAAGCTTGCCGACCAATCGTCACTAGGGGCAGGATCCAATGACCCATGAATCTTTAACTAGAAGAGCTTGGATCTGAACTCTGGTGAGTGTGTGCATTGTTGAGGAGTCCCAAACAAGGACGAAACAGCTCTCCAGTATTTCCTGGTGTTCTCCAATAGTTCTCTAACTGACATCAATCCGTGATTAAACTTGAAAAAATGAACTTTTTCTTACAAGGATTATCTAAATCTATATGCGTGTTTTTTTTTTAAATTATTGCAGATTCACGACTCACACAAATTGAGTATGAGGAGTCATTATTCCCGCAAAAATATGATTTGAACAAAGACAAGTTATTTCAACATGAAAGTAAGTAATCAACATCTTATTTCTCTTTAATTTTCTTGTTAATTATTAAAGAATACTTTTGTTTCTCCTGTTTTACATCCATGGTGTACGTGTACGTGGTTCAACAGTTGAATATCTGCCAGCCATATGGTGAAAGGTCTGGGTTCGACTTGCAGCCGACCTATCCTCTGAGACATGGACTAGTTTGGTGGCCATCAGTGGACCCGCAAATTAAGGAAGGTTAGACGTCAGAGTAAAATAAAAGCCACTACTGATATCTGGCTGTCGGTCAAATGGCGTGTGTACTGCCCAGGCATGGCGTAGGTTAGCGTATGCCGAATGAGCCTTCTGTATCAGTCCTACAATTTCGTCAGTGATCAACCAACTGGCACTGGCTGACGCGACTTCCCAAATAAGTGAAGTGGTTAACACGCTCTACAACCACTTTACTCATGCCTTCTTATCTTTAAGCTAGTAGTGAGTCAATATAGTCCACTCCTGTAGCATCATCTTACATTTGATGGGAAAGTGTCGAATGCCAAACACTCGAAGATTGCTGCTGCTCAAGGTGTTCAGAAGACTCCGCATTTTTTCAGCGTCTTCACCTAGAATGACTATATAATCTGCTTATTCTAAGTCAATGAGATTATTTCCTGGTAACAAGTCAACCCAAATTCAAATAGACGTTGTGTAGAAATAGGCTTGGGAAAACGAGTAATAAGATTGCGGAAGAATAAGGAAAGGTTGGAAAAATAGGTAAAACATATGAAAAATATATAAGGCGCAGTGGTGATATTGTCAGTTGGTTAGGTCTTAATTGGCCAAGGCAGGGATAATGATTACACGAACTTTTCCTAATCCATTATTTAGGCTTAATAGTTTGAGTACTACCCATCTCAGCTACATGCAGTTAACAAATACAAAGATCATTGGCGAGATTCTTTGGGATGTGATGAATCACCTTGAATGCTTTGATTCTTCCCACTGAATGGTGGCTATAAAAAAAACTGTGACAAAATACACCTTCAGATATCTTCTTCTCTTTACCAAACCACAGTGGCAGATATTCTGTAACACATTGGTTAAGCTGTCCAGTAGTACTTCCAACATATAATATTCCCATTGAGATTTGAACCTAGGACCTATTGTTTCAAGCGCTAAAACGTGATCTAACTGCCCTGGTGGATAATGCATTGACGTTTGGAATGATATCTGCTGAGTTCAAGTTTCAATGAGAGCACCATCAGTCACCTAGCATAACTGTCTCTACAATAGTAGCTGAATTGGTAAATACATGTAATCAAGTGTTGGCTTGCAAGGATTTAATTGGCTACTGGATTAATCATGAGCTGGCATCAGTTAAACAACCGTTGAAAAACCTGGGAGTACTGGACAACTATTTCATCCTAATTTGGGAATCTTTAGCAACACGCACCCACCGGAGTTTGAATCCAGGACCTTCCAGTTACGAGGTGACCTCATAGACCATGCAACCACTGGGAGCCAACCCAATGTTCCATGAATTCCAACTTCTGTCGATCCGTGATATATGTAGCGGAACCGCCAGCCAGTGTCATAGATGAGTAACTGTCTTCTGCCTAACTTGGTGGGAACCACTGGTTACGAATTCTTACTGGAGCCTCATGATCCCGTCGGCTGAATGGTCTACTAGCTCGCCTGGTAACTGGAAGGTACTGAGTTCGAACCCAGGCAACTCCAGGGCAATCCAACGTTTGTCTTACCGAAGTTACCTCGTGATCAGTCTTGAAATACACATAAATATGGAAGAACTAGTCAACGTTTCCTTCGTTTGACTCTCGGTTATGCACCGTTGAGCATATGACATATACACAGTTTTAGACGGTTGAAGGCCATTAGAGGGAAGCCTTACTTAACTTGTGTTTTGTGCTTGTTAGTACCCGTCAGCAGCCTTGAAGAAATTCATGTCCTCTCTGAGATTCAAACCCTTGTCATCCGGTGCTGCAATCAGTGACATTATCATTGAGGTGTTCAGGTCATAAACAACCTGTAATGGATGCTTCGATTGTCCACAGGGTAGTAACCAGTATCATCCGTTTAGGTTTTGGTGTTTATGCAGATTGAGAAGCAAGTTTGCAATGTGGTCACCATGCTAGCTAAGTGACTCACCGTCATAGTGTACTCTGAATTGATGACATATAATTGCAGGCCGTCGGCAGGTAGGTTTCTTGGTTGTAGACAGTCGTCAGCAAGACGTAGCTGTAATCTTGAAGATTTGTTACGCTTGTCTGTTTATTGATCAAATTACCTAAATATAGCATCTGAGTCAAGGAGTCATGAATTTGTATCTGTATGTGTGTACATATTTTTTGTTTTTAGGTAAACCATTCATTTGTCAACAATGTGGTAGAGCTTGTTCATCGAAAGGCATTTTAAGGCGACATATTCGAGTTACTCATGAAGGTATGATATATACATGCATATATATATATATATATATATATATATGTGTCATTGTTCAATTTATATTCATTTTTACTCGTATTATTGTGGAAGAAGCGTTGGTGGCACAGCAGTAAAATGCTCGCCAACCACGCATGGGGCGAGGGTTTTGATCCTTGGGCGACCCACTCCTTTACCTCACTAAGCCAGTGATAACACTGGTAAAGCAAGAGGGTTGGGCATGAGGCTAGCAACCTCATCCCGCATAAAATAAACACCCCTGCTACGGAAACTTGAAGCCCTCGTTATACTCGACTGGTAACGTGAAGGAATAAAAAAATTGTGGAAGAGGACTTTGTCGACTGCTTGATAACGTTAATAAGTATAATCATAATAGCTTTATTTCAAAGAGTATTGTTGATACAAATATGGAATTAGATGGTTGAAGGCAATCGGCGGGAAGCCTTTGACACCACCTAGGCTTCTTGCTAGCTGGCACTTGTCAACATGGCGATAGCATTGGGTGACGTGGGTCCGAATCTCAGAAGGGACATGAATTCCTTCAAGGTTGCAGATACGCTTTGTTGACTGGTGTGTACCAACTAGCAAGAAACCTAGGTCAGTTAGGGATTTCTGCCGATCGCTTTCAGCCATCTAATATCATCAAATCAATGTGCACCGTGATGGCGAGCTACCTAGTGGGATGATGGCCACATTGCCAACCTGACTGATAGAATTCAGTCTGCACCAAACATACGAAGGACTAGACACGTCGCATTAGTTACTAGTATCCAGTCAAATACGAAGTTTTCAGCATGTAGAAGTGCAGTATTCCATCTGATTTTCTCATTACACGGGCAATAACCAGAACAGGGCATTTACACTGATAATATGAATGTGAATATTAAATGAAGTGAAAGAAATAACAGCAATATTACAATGAAAAGAAGAGGACCGTTTACCTGGTATTTCGCCGAAATTTTGATAGTGTTCTGCCTTACACTTTTCTGATTACATAAAATGTGTGCTAAATAAGGTATTGTGGAGTTTTTATACTCTGTCATCCGAGTATATTATCCTCTATAGTTGCTTCAAGTTCTTCCTGATGAGAAAGAAGGAGAAAGCGTTGTGTATAGAGAGGATGCTCAGGGTCCGAAAAGACAATATTCACGAATTCCTTACATGAGTTCAAGTGTGTCTATCTGTGGCAATATTAACAAGTTGGTTTAACAACATCTCAGTCGTCCTACCGATAGCTTTTAATGTCCTCCACAGCGTAACAAGATCTGTCTTAACTAGTCTAAGTAGGATTATTATTATTGTTCCCTTTGGTTCCTAGTGGAACATAGGGCGGCAAAGGTCTACAATAGCGACCCAAGGGATGCAAACGCACAATGACCTTGAGCCGACCAGTCAGAAAATAGGAGGATTTTTGCATAAAATTTTACGTATATTTATACAAAAAAGCATGGAAAAAGCATTATACAGGATATTTCTGTCTAATATGAGATAAAAAGTCTCCCAGTTATATTGAGGAGTATCAGTTTTTAAATTAAACCAATTTCTATACATATATTCGTCCAGATGACTAAAAATGACTTCCTTTTGAGAGCCGTTTATAGCTCTGATTCTATTTTTTAGTCTTCCCCAGAAACCTTCGATTGAATTGGTATGGGTACCGGTCCTAGGGTCCACGAAGTCATCTGAATGGTTTACTCGATGGTGTATATATCCCAAAGTAGATAGACGATTATATCCTGCCCATTCATCCGTATGAATGGTTGTGCCTGGCAACACCAGTCTTTGAATAATAGGTAGTAGTGTATCCTCACTCCTATCCGGAATGAGTTCGATGAAACATTTGCGAATCTGCGTGTCGTAAATACCAAGAACCCAAACGTTATTGGCCCTAGCACGTCCCCGGTTATACTTCTTTTTTATAAGCACAGTTTCGTCGGTGTGAACAACGACATTCCCTCCGCCTAGCACTTGCGTGATGCTATTTACTTTCCACGACGCCAAATCTCTGCAAAACTGGAACCATTGCACAGTAGACGTTAAGGTATTGTCTGTCTGGGCTGCAGTTGATCTCACTCCGGTCTTCAAAATCCAGTAATGACATAGAAACAGGATATTCGTCAACGAAAGTTTCGATTTTTCGAAGAAAGTCCCTAAAAGATAATCAACTGACAGTGTTAATTACCAGTGCGAACACTTGTTCGCTTCCTACACTGTGTGCATCTAAATATATATCCATCAATCACCTGGGTATACGGCTGCAGGTTCATAGAAGCACCACAACTACAAATCCGAGTACGTCCTATTAATCCACTGTCTAGGCAGTACTGAAAAACGTGCTCCGGCTGAAATTTGCATCTGAGCAGATGAACAGGCGTCATTTTCGCGCTAGAATAATGGAAAGGTTCCTCAACCAATGACTAGCATGCGTTCAAGGTCATTGAACGTTCAAGGTTTTGGGACGCTATTCTTAAACTTCGCCCGTAGGGCTTCAATTGGACGTCTCCACTTGCTTCTGTCTTCCACTGTACTTTTCACCTGCATCCATGTAGTTAGTCCATACTGTTTCAACTCCCCTTCACACGATCTCCTCCATGTCACCCTTGCACTCACGTCCCACTCGCCGCTTCCCTTTCGGGTTCCACTCGAGCAATGGCCTGACGCGCGCGCGATGTCACCCAGCGGCCTCCTCAACGAGTAGTGTCCAATTCATCTCCACTTTCTCCTGCATATTTGTTGGTTGGGCGACTGGTTCTTGTTTTGTTTCTTCCTTCCCATAGTTTCTTGTTGGTGATTCTTTCCAGCCATCTGGCATTGCATGATTGTAACCTTCCTTCCTTTTGAGTTGAAGCTAGCTGTCATTATCCTGGAGGAGATTGGTTCCGACTGCATGAGAGCTTTGGTTTCTGTTGGTGACATCATGATTGCCACTTCCTTCAGTGTGCTCGTGGTTGTCCTCCGGGTGACTGGAATAGATTACTGCCACTCCAGTTGGTAGTTGGCACCTGCCACATCCGTTCCATCTGCTCTCGCAGATTCCCAACACTTCTATTCTATATCTTCTCATTTCTGCGGCTACCTGGGTAGTCTTTCCAGTGTTGTATATTGTACGAACATTCCACGTCCCCATCCTAATTTTTGCCTTCATCGAAAGAAGGCACATCGGCTGACTGGCTTCCTAAAGGCTTTCACCAGCCTGCGTCATTTCACTCCCCGATTCCAGTGAAAAATAAGGTTACTGTTTATATTTTTAGTATTTTTAATATATTTACGCATTGAGGTTTCTGCAGCAATTTGGTTAAGTTTTGGGGATGGAGTTTCTAGCACCACGCTCAACCCTCCCTCTTTATCCGGGCTTGGGACCGGCTAGAAAACTAGTGAGTTAGTAATCTAGGCGAGGTTAAAGTCTCTGATCCAACCGGGATACAAAAATTAACAAACCTAGACAGTAGAGACAGAGTGATACCAGATGGTCTTAACCATCCCTCCGTAGAATGTTAAACGAAATATCTTTCTAGAAAATAACATGATGTGGAACGATGTAGAAAACGTAAAATGTCCGCACATTTCTTGAGGATAGTAGCTCATAGACCAGCTGGACTTAGGGACTCGGTAGATTTCAAGGATTTTAGACACTTGAGGATGTCATTTGTATTAGAACCGGAGAAGTAATTATTGTTTATATTTGTAGCATTTGAAATCATTACATCTACTGGACGACATATAAAAAGACTTATTAGAGCGTAACAGCATCAACTGAAGAAGGATCATTACATATTTGCTTACCTACGACCGTGGATTTTCTTCACTAGCTTTCACATATTTGATGATGAGGTTTTGCATGACAAGAAATTTTATTTATCGAATCATATTTATTCTCTGTATTTCTAATTTAATTAAAGTGTACCTGTATCCCTTAAGTGAGTGATTGTGTCCCTCTACTACTAGACTTACAGGCGAGAACTAACAAGTTGGTAGGAATGCCAGCCTGCGAAGACGGGACTTCAAGTGAATACAGAGAAAGAGAAGACGTTCAGCGAAGAGACTCTTTTCGACGGCGAATTCATTCACATAGCTGTACAATCGCATTTATATATAATTATTTGTGTGTGTGTGTGTACATGAGATTCGTCAAGTTTAGATAATTAATCAGGTAATACAAGAATGATCTAATATAGAAACAAGGTTAATTAGACAGTAACTAAATTAAGATTGAATTAGTAAGTTAGATGACGTAATATAATTAACTGAAATGTTTCAACTTAGGTCAGGGTAGCAACAGAGGTAATTACAAGTAGAGACTAAGTAGAAGTAGGGTAGAGAATAAGGCCATTTAAATTAGAACTGAAATTGAGCAAATAAATTGGACGATGTAACATAAATGACTAGAAATTGAGCGTTGATCAAGTCAGTAACAGTGGTAGTGGGGTGTAGAAATTAAATCGGTTGAGAGTAGAGAACAAGAAGGTTGAAAATGTAAAATATTACGATTGAGAAGACAACATAATACTAATGAAGAGACAGAAAAAAGAGATTAGGTAGAATTTACTTGTCGGTTAGTAAGATAGATTACGTCTATTGGAAGTGTAGTGATCGAACGAACTTCTTCTGTATGCAGAGTTCAGGACTTAGCAAGTGAATCGTCATTGCTTCTGCAGTTTGAAGAAGTCTGATTTCTACACCTTTAGGAAGACTACTTCCTACTCTGTAGACGACTTTGAAGTTTGTTTGGGGTGTAGCTTAGTGTCCGGATTCTATCAGATGTTGTAAGATGGAGCTGCGGGGCATCGTTTTTCTCCTTCGTATAACCATGTTGGTAAGTGTTCAGTGATACGTTTGGAAAGCGAACGCTGGCTGGGTACGGCCGAGATACCTGGCTCCATACGAGCGGGTGAATTGGTAAACACACATTAATGAAGCCATCAGTGGTAGTTTATCCTTCACGTCCACATGAATCATAAGTTTTGTGGAGAAAGTTAGTCGTAGTTCAGCTGCGAAGAAAGTCTTCTTCAGTGACCGTGACAGTCGATTTTTTTAATGTGACTCAATGGCGAACATACAGAAGACAAAGGTGATAAAGATGCTTGAGCACTAGTCACTCTCAACGAGAGGAATTTAAGAGAGGTTACGTGCTTCAATTCTCTAGGCAGCCCGCATCGTTTCAACTACATGCGGTGAGAATGTCAAAACCAGGATTGAAAAGGCTTGGTAGATATTCATCACTGTGAAATCAGTTTGTAAATTTACTGCACTCAGCATAAAGAACAAAATTCGTAATTTCAAAACCAATTTTAGTCATTTCTTCTAATATGGGTCAGGAACTTGGCCAATGCGTCACGGAAAGCATTTCGAACAGGCTTCAGACGTTTATGAACATCTGTCGTCTCTAGCCAAATAGCGAAGAAAATGCAGATGGATCTGATACACGCTAAGGTGACCGTTGGGTGAAATAGCGTGTCACGTCATTCCTCGAGTGGGACTTGAATGAGAAACGAAGAGTTGGGTGTTGAAGGGTAACGTGGAAGAGATGAAGACCTATGAACAAACGTGGAGTAAGTCGAAGACGACAGGACAAAGTGGAGGTGTGCTGTTGAATCCGTATGTTTCATTCGGAACCTCAAGAAATGATAATAAAACATAGTGGTCATATTCAGACAACACCATCGAAGTATATGTATTAGACGCCGACATGCCAAAAGTGATTGAGTATTTCAGTCTAGTTAGTGTAAACCAAATAAACATTTACCAATAACAACCGATAATTGTTTCAAAATGGGTGACTCTCGTAGTTGAAATAGTCTAGAGAGGACAACGCTTTGGTGAGTGAAACGACGAGGGCGCCGAGTTCGAGTCCCATCGGAAACATCATCATTCACTAGTGATATAGGTAGGTGTATGCAGTTAATAAGTACTAGTTAGAATGAAATGCGCATCCTAGATTCTACATTACCTAATGACTAACTAACATCTTTTATTTTAATTTTAAAGACTTTGTGAATTTTTATACTTTTGTTATTTCACCATGATTGCTGATATGTGTTTTCTTTGATTTTTGTTTCCATGATATCAGGACATAATTTTCCATGTGATCAATGTGGTAAAACATTTACACGAGAAAGTAATTTAAGGGAGCATAGATTAGCATTTCATGAAGGTTAGTTATAATTTTATAGCTTCTAGGATGGATTATTTGCACGTGTGTGTTTGCGTGTGTTTGTGTGTGTGCGTCAGTGGTAAGAGCTTTACTCTTACCTAGGTGTGGCGAGTGAATGTATGTATTGCTTTTGAATGCAGAAGTTCGATTGCAGATCCCGAATAGCCAGTGTTTCAGCTATGTACAGATGGCGTATGCGTAGTCCTTTGTTACGATATTGAGGGACTCTGTGTAGCACTATGAAGTATTCCTGCGGGGTGCTCGATGACAAGGTGTTCGAGAAGAGAGATGCTGATATTCTTCCTTTCTCCTCTGCCTGGCTAACCAAGCTGGACAGTGTTCCAGAATACGTTTGTGGACTTGACGTTGTGTACGACAGATATACGGTGCTCCACACGAACAAGTAAATTGATAAATATACATTGATGTGGCCAAAAGCGGTATCTTTTCTTTGACATTAGACTGGATTAGCTGTCTTCTGGAGAATGTGATACGTAAGGTGGTTGTTGGAAATGTCTTCTTCAGACATTTAGAGAGGCAGTTTCTAAGAATTTCCGCTGTGATGTCACTTTTGAATTCCAGGTTCATGAAGAGAGTTTTCTGAGTAACAGTTGCCCGTTCTAAGTACCAGCTGTGTTGTTACTGTTGTTGTTTATACGGAGTGTGGTTGTTAGCCTCCCACAGAACTTTGTCTCTCTCTCTCCCGGACTTAGTGAGGTTTAGGAGTGCCTTGGTTGGGAATCAAACCCTGGATAGATCAGTATGGTTGGCGAATGAATATTCGACTACTAAATCACCGATTCTCCTTTTTTTGTTTTGACTGCGTAATCCGTTTTGTAATTGTTATTATTCATAGTAAACATCTGTTCCCATAGATTCAGAATGATTCTTTCTAGAGGTATTTTGCGGGCTATTCATTTCACAAGTTCTCACAATTTTTTTTGTTGCATTTTTGATAGCATAATAATTGTACACCAGAGTCAATTTCTATTAATACGTAATGACAGAAGACAAAGACTAGGCAGCTGATTGTTTATTGAGAAAATTAACTGTTATTTATAGATTTTTACGTACATTATTGTCAGCGGAGAAGAGACGCCTTCTGATTGGTTGTTTTCCTGTTTTTGTGAACGTTTCTCAGAAAATGAAGCCATATGTCTGCGAATCATACTTCCATACGCCTCTAATTCCGCTGTGATTGGTTGGTGGTTTTCTTAAGGTTAAGCTTTGTTATTGCTTTTCTCCCGACGCTGATTCGGGATGTGGGTATGGACGTAAATTGTTGTCTGCAATTTCTACCTGTTCTCAGCCAGCTCTCATCACAAATATACCTACATTTTGTTGACTAATATGTTGGAAAATCGTTTCTGTAGATCACCAACTGCCACGGATTAGAGGACTACTGAAAACTAGACAGCTACTGAACAGCCGTTTCGCCTTATTTTAAAACTCTTCAGTGGCGTTGACCTCACGCTGGATCGAACCTAGGGCTTACTCTTTGACCATTCACCTCTGAGATGGAACCTAATGGTGACCAACCCATGAATTGTATCGTGTACCAATCGATGATTCACAGTCCTACCTTCAGCCAATGCTATTGGCTAATAAGCGTCCTCACACCAGACTTGAACGACCTTATTGGTGTTAAGCGTTCACTAGACTTCAACCTATTGTCCGTCACTATTGAGGAGTACATAGTTGACCTCTGGATTCTATTCCAGTGGGTCCTGAGTCTGATCGCATGTGGGTAGCGTCCCCTGGGTAAGTGTTGCTGATGAACCCCAAACTAGAATGAAACAGCTGTTCAGTACAACGGGATTTCCAATCATTTTTTAAATGACATGCTTTCGTGGTCAAATTCGAAATGAATATTTATTAGCCTTGTTATGTATCGAGTGCTACAGGAAACCTTTTTACTTATATTTCTTGTTGAATGTTAATTATCCCTTCAGGAAGGACAGTGAGTGGTTTTCATTATTCGCTAACATCATTCAATACTATGATTAGTTCTTTTGCTGTTGCTGTCTCTCTCTCCGTGTGTGTTTGGGTGATGATTAACGGTCACATGTGTTTCTTCCTTTCTGTTAAGACCATAGAATGTTAATTTATGAGTGTTAAACATTTCTCTACTCAAATCCTTCGTTCTAAATATGTGTTATTGGGCTCTAACACCGTCTTCTTTTCATTCCTCGAAGATCTGAGTGGAACACAAGACTTTAGACGTGTGCTTGGATGCTTCAGTAGCGGTGGTGGAAAGATCGCTACCATCACATCCAACCAACCTTCCTTTCTTCTTTCATTTTCTACCTGCCTAACAATCGGTTAGTAAATAAAACGATATTTGAGAGTGCGTCGGCTAGGAATTGAAACTGGAACACTCCCACCTGCCTGTCTGACGAGTATCTTACCATTGAACTAGCGACTTTTGTTGTGACTTTTTTATGGGAATGCTAATAGACTTCTAATTAGGTTACAGACACACCCACACACATACACACGGCTGTAAATAGCCCTCATTTGAAGATTTCTTACTCATCGCGTTGGTAACTTGTATATAATGGGTGATGATTAACGGTCACATGTGTTTCTTCCTTTCTGTTAAGACCATAGAATGTTAATTTATGAGTGTTAAACATTTCTCTACTCAAATCCTTCGTTCTAAATATGTGTTATTGGGCTCTAACACCGTCTTCTTTTCATTCCTCGAAGATCTGAGTGGAACACAAGACTTTAGACGTGTGCTTGGATGCTTCAGTAGCGGTGGTGGAAAGATCGCTACCATCACATCCAACCAACCTTCCTTTCTTCTTTCATTTTCTACCTGCCTAACAATCGGTTAGTAAATAAAACGATATTTGAGAGTGCGTCGGCTAGGAATTGAAACTGGAACACTCCCACCTGCCTGTCTGACGAGTATCTTACCATTGAACTAGCGACTTTTGTTGTGACTTTTTTATGGGAATGCTAATAGACTTCTAATTAGGTTACAGACACACCCACACACATACACACGGCTGTAAATAGCCCTCATTTGAAGATTTCTTACTCATCGCGTTGGTAACTTGTATATAATGGGTGATGATTAACGGTCACATGTGTTTCTTCCTTTCTGTTAAGACCATAGAATGTTAATTTATGAGTGTTAAACATTTCTCTACTCAAATCCTTCGTTCTAAATATGTGTTATTGGGCTCTAACACCGTCTTCTTTTCATTCCTCGAAGATCTGAGTGGAACACAAGACTTTAGACGTGTGCTTGGATGCTTCAGTAGCGGTGGTGGAAAGATCGCTACCATCACATCCAACCAACCTTCCTTTCTTCTTTCATTTTCTACCTGCCTAACAATCGGTTAGTAAATAAAACGATATTTGAGAGTGCGTCGGCTAGGAATTGAAACTGGAACACTCCCACCTGCCTGTCTGACGAGTATCTTACCATTGAACTAGCGACTTTTGTTGTGACTTTTTTATGGGAATGCTAATAGACTTCTAATTAGGTTACAGACACACCCACACACATACACACGGCTGTAAATAGCCCTCATTTGAAGATTTCTTACTCATCGCGTTGGTAACTTGTATATAATGTATGTCATGATTAACAGTTAAGTGACGTTTACTGTTTTTTAAAGTAATTCTGTATATAATACATATGATGAAAGCTAGGTTGGCATGCGCTAATTTGCGTCACTTCCGTTCTCGTTTTGACGTTAGCCTCACTATCAAAAGTCGGGATTACAATACTGTGTTGCACATAGTCTTTCTGTACGCCTGTGAAACGTGGATTCTCTAAGCTATGAATTTGTAGCGACTTTGTGTATTTGTTCACTGCTATCCCCTTAAGTTTGAACTTGTGTAAGTAACTCTAAGGTCCGACAGCATGTTCGGACATGGTGGATGTTACCATTCGTTGAGTGTGATCATCTTGGAACACTGGCTTCGGTAGTGGCTTTCCGTTCTTCAGTCATGTGACCAGATGCAATCAGCACAGAGGTGGTCAGCCTCTAACATACCACTGCTGGATGAAGAACATACATTTCTTTTTTTGATGTGGTTTTGTTCTCTGAGCTGGATAGTTAGTTTGCAAACTAACTATCCAGCTCAGAGAACAAAACCACATCAAAATTATCCACCTGAGCTACAAATCTTCTCTATCATATCTACATACATTTCTGTTAGCTTAGTATCCTTTGGTACCTCATGACTGTCTTTGTGTGGTCCAGAAGGTAATTTGAATCAGTGGCTCGGGATGTTATCAGATATATGGCCGGGAGTCGCAATGAACGTCGAACATCCCTTCCTTTGTCGGCTTTCCAAAAATAACATCAAATAATGAGTGTTTGAATGGTCGTGATAGGTGTGTGTGTGTATGCACGTTTGCTTTCTGGATATAACTTCTCTCTCTCTCTCTGCAATTTCTCCTATCTATATTTTTCTTTTAATATTGTTCTTTTTCATTATTTTTATATGACGTGACTCTTCCTCACCTAAATTTGTTTTATAATACTAATAAAATTAATTCGTTTATTGATTTTTTTTTCATTTTAGGCAAATTTTTCAAATGCGATGAATGTGATGGTGCATATTCCTCAAGGAGTATATTATTAAGGCATGTTAAATATGTTCACAGAGGTAAGATGGTTAGGCTGGCTAGCTAACTTACTGTGTATATCCATTTGATGGATATTTTATTTTAAAACGTTTCGTTGTCTTACTAGAGAACATATTCAGGGCTCATTACGTAGTGAATTAGTTGGCTTTTAGAATTCTCTTCGTAAATCGAAGTAACCCGTTTTTCGTAGTGACTCCGAATGTTTAGAATTATTTTTCTGAAGTTCTTTTTGATCCTTGATGCTAATTATATTGGTGATCTGATATTTAACCAATATAACTTGTTCTTTAACATATCGTTGAGGATTCCATCATATACTGACATCGCTTAGAAGACTATTGGAAGACCTGAGAGAGCACTGGACAACTGTTTCGTCCTACTTGAATTGGGACTCTTGACTGTGCGGACCTACCGAGGTTCACACACACTAGACCTTCTGGTTACAAGGCGATCTCGTAGACCATTAAGCCACTGGGACCCTATCTGATGGCCAGTCAGTCCATGATTTCTAACTTCTGCTAATTCATGATGTGGCGGAAACACTAGCGAATGTCATCTCTGGTGAGTATTACTCCTCACACCCAACCTGCTGTACTCCACGGGTCACGACTTCCCATCCACTGGGTTCGAACCTCAGAGGGCGCGTTTTGATGAAGGATCACAAACCTGGACCAAACAGCTATCCAGTACTTTCTGCAGGTTTTCCAATGATCCTCTAACCGATGTCAGTTGTGATGATGAAATCCTGAAATCCATCAAAATCCCTGCTAACCAACACTTAACTAATATCATTAAGTCTGTTGATAAACGACCTGGTAACACCGATAATAGCTGGATTTCTGTCTTCCTCTCAAAATGTTGTCATGTTACCATGCGCCTTCACACCGTCTGTCAGATAAGTCCTATTCAAAGTCACACTTGAACGAACAGCACACAATATATTATGTATCATAAAGAAGAGTAATTCTCAAACAAAAGTGATTGAAAATAGAATATTTCGTTGCCGCTTGTTCTAGATTTTACAACAATACTTATAACGCCTAACTGTTCAACACTGTATCTCTGAGTTTTCGATGTAGGTCTTTGCTAAGAAGTTCAAACTACCGCACATAAAGGTATTTTTTAAAAATTATTTTATTCCTTCACGTTCCCAGTGGAACATAGCGAGGGCGTCAAACTAGAGGCTTGAACTTTCAGCAGCAGCAGAAGTGGTGTTGATTTTTACGGGATAGAGTTGCTAGCCTCATGCCCAGCCTTCTTTCTTTACCAGTCTTACTACCGGCTTAGCGAGGTAAAGGAGTACGTTTTCAGCCGGCGATTGAATCCCGAACCACCTGCTTGCTTAGCGAGCCTCCAAAGCCTCAGGATGGTCGGGGTGGGTGTCTTGCGCTGCGGGTTGGCCACCCCTCCGTACACCTCTTGAAATGCTCCCATATGACCGGGCGTCTTACATAGCCTCTCATGAGGAAGTCCTACTCACTGCCTTCACGTGGCGGAGGTGTTTCTCACCAAAGTGAGAGGGCAAAAGCGGATGCCCGGCGCTCTTCACCGGGTTGACTGTCCATTGGATGACAGTCTAGGGGAGATGGCTAAACCCTGATTCCAAACCTCCAACGACTGGCGTATGAAGCTCACTGGAGCTCACCGGCAGACGTATGGACAAAGGGCTTGTTGGATGTCCTGGATGACTGGCCCCATTCAAAAAGGCGAATGAACCGGACTCCGGTCACCGGCTGCCAATGGATAGTGGACTCCCTACTCCACTCCTACTGCCTTGTAGGTCACACTTGGTTGTGTAAAGGCTAGAGCTGCACTCTCAAACAAAAGGCCGAGCGATTCTGGGGACATCACTCGTACCCAATTCCCATGAAACTTCATGGTTCATGAAGCCGGCTCATCCTCCCGTAGGAGATAGCCGAAGTAAGGGGAAGTAAGGTTAGCGAGCAGTCTACCGCTAGGCTATTGCCACACACACACACACATAAAACTATAGGATAGGAGAACATGCCGACTAACTACAGTGATCGGCAGCGTATGAGTGAGAGAGACACACACACACACAGGTAGAATAAGCAAATGGAGGACAATGAAAATTCCAAACATCTAGGAGCTCACCATTGAATATATCACCAAAATCCAGTGAACATTAGTTCTTACAGTCTTAAGTACCCCAACCAAATAGTCCATATCTCTCCCTACAAGTTTCAAACCAACAGTCAAATATTTCATACAGGATTTCACCATGAGCTGACATCAGCTAGAGAACCACTGGAAAACCTGGGAGTACTGGACAGCTGTTTCGTCCTAGTTTGGGACTCTTCAGCAGTACACGCCCACCGGGGTTCGAACCTAGGACCTACTGGTTACAAGGCCAGCTCGTAGACTTTTGAGCCACTGGGACCCGATCAAATAGTCCTTGAATTCTAAGTTCTGCCAGTTCATGATATAGCGCGTCCACTTCGCAATGTCTTCTTCGAAGAGTCACTGTCTCATCTTCAACCTGCTGTACCCTACTGGTCGCGGCTTCCCACTAGAACCTAGAGTCTAACTGATGTCAGCTCATGGTGAAATCCTCCATACAATCAAACAAAATCCCTACAAAACCAATACTTGAAAATATTTCATAGAGTGATGTCGTGTTTTGGTTTGATCTTTGGCGAGTATTTGCCCTCACACCCGACCTGCTGCAGAAGTTAGAATTCATGGGCTATTGGATTGGGTCCCCAGTGGTTTAATGGACTATGAGCTCGTCTTGTAACCAAAAGGTCCTCTGTAGATGCGTACTGATGAAGAGTCCCAAACTAGGCTGACGAGACAGCTGTGTGTCCAGTACTCCCAGCTGGTTTTCCATTGGTTCTCTAACCGATGTCAACTCATGATGAAATCCTGTAACCAACCAATCAAATCCCTACAAACCAACACTTGAATAATAAGTTAGTCATATTGCATGTCCGTTTTTGTCGTTCACAGGTATACACTTTCGTTGTGACCTTTGCGACAAAATATTTTCGCGGATGTATCATTTACGAATTCATCAAATGTCTGTACATGAAAGTAAGTAGTAGTCGGTTTTTACTTATATTTAAGATTTTGGATCTCTTTCAAGTCAAATTATACATTACTGCTATTCATTTGATGGTATTGGAGTAGAATTCACCTCTGTAATGACGCACAGCTCCATTAAGTTGTGTCCTCCGCCATTACATTCAGTCAATTTCGAAACTATTCACAAGCTTTTCTTTCCCACCACCCCCCACCCCGGATGTCACCTTCAAAGTGATGTCTAACTCATCGATTCCCATTCGGCGGATTCCACTGGAGGGTGTAACATGTGCGTGTGTGGTGTCACTTGAATACCTCCTCAGTGTATACTGAACCCATCTCTTCATTTCTTTCTGCACGTCTGTTGGACAACACGTTGGTGGTTAGTTTATTGACCACCAGAGTTCCTTATTCCTTATCGTTTCCATCGGCTGGTCATCTGGTTTTCAATATTTAGTGAAGTGGACAGCTGTGGGGAATGTTCTTGGTGACGCAAACGCTGAGACGACTTTCTTTCAATTTCTTTTGTGGATTCTGACTACTGTTTGTTTCTGAAGGTCGGGTATCTTCATCATCTCTGTCTTCTTTATGCTTAGCGAAAGTTCAGCTTTCGCTTCCCTCTTACATCAACTTGTTGGTATCCTTTTGTTTATCTCCAACTTTGTTCAACATGAGACATAAATCATCCACGGAAGACAGATCTTCTGGGAGGTCTTTTTTTGGGTCTACTGTCAGTGTTCACTCGTCATTGTGTGTCTAAGTGGCGGTCATTGATTGATTCCTTTGTTCTACTCTTTTGTGAATTGATTTGCCTTTTCTATCCTTCTGTGGTTCCACCTCTGTTGATTTCTTCTTGGATAGCACTTTTCTTCATCCCTGTGTTCAGTGTGTTGTAGATTATACTCTCAGCTTCTGCCTTTTTTCTACATCTTTTTTGTGGTTCATCTGCTGCTTCACCATCCTCCTGCTGTTTTTCATCTTCTAGGAGTCTGTAGTGAGACATTCCTTTTCCTGCCTAAAATGCTTTTACAGGTTTCCCTAGGTGATGTTGTCTTATATCTTTGACTTTAATTTGATTGCTGCCATGAAGGTGTTCATTATGGCTTCATTCTTTATTATTTGAGTATTGAATTTCGAAGTATGGTCTAGTTCCAGCTTCTGTGAAGGCTCTTAACTTGATCTTGAAGGTTCTTTCCACTAGACAGTGGTTGGAGCTTCCATCTCCTCCTCTTCTCAATCTTGCGTCCAGTAGGCTGAATCTCCACTTTTATTGTGATTGAGGTGTAGTTCATCTAGCGAAACCCACGTCTCTTGTACACAGACACTCTCTAATTACCAAATCATTGAAGTAACGGAAGTCGACGAAGAGTTCTGCGTTCGCATTCACACTGTAATCTAATCATTAATATCTTGTTCATATGATTCTAAGTCAGAAGTCGATCTGCAAATTATGAATGTAGGCGTCAAGTCAAAGTCAAGTATAGTTGACAAGTGAAGTTATAATTTGATCTCCCAGTATTGGTTTGCAGGGAATTGACTGATTGGTTGCAGGATTTCATCATTAGCTGACGTCGGTTAAAGAACCATTAGAAAACCTGGGAGGGAGTACTGGACAGCGGAAATGGCAGAAGTTAGAATTGAACCCTGATTCCCCTTTACCCGTTATTATCATGGTAGGCAGATCACCTACCAACAAACTGATAGGTCAGACATTTGAAAGATCCGTCGCCGACACAAGGTCGACTGCAATCATTCAAGTTATCCAGAGTCATCACAGAATTCAACAGAGACAGCCGAAACTGCCCCCGGTTGGTTCTGTTCTAATAAATGCATCCGTTCCCTTGTGGGTCAGGGCATAAGCATATTGCATGTATTAGCTCTAGAATTACTACAGTTATCCGTGTAGCATATAAGGAACCATAGCTGATTTAATGAGCCATTTGCGGTTTCACCGTTTTAAGGTATGTACTTAGACATGCATGGCTTGATCTCTGAGACAAGCATATTACTACTGGCAGGATCAACCAGTTTATTCACACAATGAGACATCCATTGACTGGGTATTGGTTTTAAAGAGAACCAAACACACCCACCCCTGCCTCTTGCGAGACGAGACCGGCATGCAGGATTATCCTGTGGCGCAACCACTCGACAGTCCTCTCCCTCGGTGGACCATTTACACCGTTAGTATACATAGTAATGCATAGGTAAGCATTGCTACGCTGGTCATTGATCGCGTCAATCAACTATGTACTGCATAGACAAGCCCAATAGAACTCATCTCGCATACAAGACTAGCCAAAGTTATTATTATATGCAAAATTAGCACGCATAGCGACGTTATAGTGACAATAGGCCCCTATAAACGAAGTCTGCAGCCACCAAATTCAATGAAATCGTTATCCCTACCAACCAATTTAGTATGCAAATAGCTTCTATACATCTGCCAAGACTATAGAAAACCATACACAGTCATATAAGCGAGTCATGAGAACCATTTAACCCACGCTCATATCGTCTCTATAGCTTATGCTGTGTTTACCATAGGATTTAACATAGGGTTATAAGCAAGACAGCGTAGCTGAATGATCTACGAGCTAGCTCGCCTTGTAACCAGAAGGCCCTGATATAAGTGTAAAACTTGGGCACTGCAGTAGAGTATAGCTCCATTATGGATAAGATTTTATTTTGATAAATCACACTGTGTAGTGTTATACATTACTATTAATTGATGACGTTTCGATCACAAACTACTGCTCATAATCATATCAAGTTACTCACACAAATTTTTCCTTCATTTATATACATGTGTGGAATCGATTAGATATTGGAATAAAAAATCAATATGAGGTAGTGTACATTCAGAAATAATAATATGAAGGCCCTGAGTTCGAACCCCAGTGGGTGCGTACTGATGAAGAGTCCCAATCCAGTAGGACGAAGCAGGTGTCCAGTACTCCCAGGTGGTTTTCCAATGCTTCTCTAACCGATGTCAGCCCATGATGAAATCCTGTAACCGATTCGATCTTATGTGTATATTCCACTGTGAATTTTCTTCCCTGTTTTACATTTCTATCTTTTTTGAAATTTTGCTTAGGAGTCCGATTCAGTTGTGATCAATGCGACAAATCATTTGCACATAAATTCGATCTGAAAATGCATAAAGCAACTTTTCATGAGGGTAATTTGCTCTATAGCTTCTTTCAGATTCCTTTTTTTGTTTTATATTTCGTTTCTGGAGCTGATGGTTTATATTGAAAATGGGAAATGTGATGTTTTTGTTGAGGAGTGATATGATGAACCCAAATGATGTTAATTCGTCGACAGTCGATATGGCTGATTGAATGTATGTGTGGGTATATTAACGATGACGACGCACTTGACAACTCAACTGATATGTTAGATATGCCTTGCTGTCCTTAGTACCCTTTACTTTCCGCTTCACCGAGACACATAAATATCAAAAGACAAAGACTGGCATCTTGTGACTGTTAGGATACGACTTTATTCAGTAAAAAGCACATTAAAATTTGTCTAGGGTAGTGTGAAATAAATTGTTCTGATTGGTAGGATGATTTGACTAAATCCACAGAAAATAAATACTTTCATTGGTTGGTGATTGGTCCAGGACCCCTAGATAATTAAAAGACGATGAGATATGATGAAAATATCCAGTGACCGGGCAGTGCAAGAGAAGACTGATAACCGGTTCTTTTGAACGTATATATCGGGTTTCAGGCGCTTGGTGGAGATTGCTTCGACACATTTGAGGAAAATTGAACTCGTTTGCTTATTGGTAGTAATTTTGAACAATCTTGCGACGTCCACATCATGACTCGTACCAAGAAGATGTCTGGCAATGACACTGTTGAAACTATTTGTTACATGTTCAAAAAATCGGAGGTTTGCCCTACTTTCTGTTCTTCCAATGTAACTGCTCCCGCAGATATGTGTAAATTTGTAAACACAGTTAGAGTTAACATGAGAAGGGTGGGTATCTGTCGACCTTTGATTGTACCAAGCAGCACTCTGTTCGATAAATGGGAACCATCTTGGCTGTAGGATAGACTCTGGCTAGTGACCTATTCAAATCTCTATTGATTTTCCTGTAATACTTTCACCCTTAGAATAAAGTTGAACGTAGATGGACGTTTTCTCGCCGCTGTGATTAGATTGACATTTGAGCCTTCATATCTTGCGTGCTTGTTGATTATTGCATCAATTCTACAATAAGTTAATAATAATAATAATAATATACCTTGTCCTTTTTTATTCTGCATAGGTTTATACTTTCATTGTAATCTTTGTGATAGAAAATTTTCACGGATGTCACACTTAAAAACTCATCAATTCGCTGTACATGAAGGTAAGCACCAGCCGCAGCAGTAGTCATTTTTACGTATTTCTAAGTTGTTTTCAATATGTCCTATCTCTTACTAGTCAGATTATTATTGTTCCCTTGGTTGCCTAGTGGAACATTGGGTTTCAACTGTTGTACGTCTCAACTTCCATCTGTCTTCCACTGTACTTTTCACCTGCATCCATGTAGTTAGTCCATACTGTTTCAACTCCCCTTCACACGATCTCCACCATGTCACCCTTGCACTCACGTCCCACTCGCCGCTTCCCTTTCGGGTTCCACTCGAGCAATGGCCTGACGCGCGCGCGATGTCACCCAGCGGCCTCCTCAGCGAGTAGTGTCCAATTCATCTCCACTTTCTCCTGCATATTTGTTGGTTGGGCGACTGGTTCTTGTTTTGTTTCTTCCTTCCCATAGTTTCTTGTTGGTGATTCTTTCCAGCCATCTGGCATTGCATGATTGTAACCTTCCTTCCTTTTGAGTTGAAGCTAGCTGTCATTATCCTGGAGGAGATTGGTTCCGACTGCATGAGAGCTTTGGTTTCTGTTGGTGACATCATGATTGCCACTTCCTTCAGTGTGCTCGTGGTTGTCCTCCGGGTGACTGGAATAGATTACTGCCACTCCAGTTGGTAGTTGGCACCTGCCACATCCGTTCCATCTGCTCTCGCAGATTCCCAACACTTCTATTCTATATCTTCTCATTTCTGCGGCTACCTGGGTAGTCTTTCCAGTGTTGTATATTGTACGAACATTCCACGTCCCCATCCTAATTTTTGCCTTCATCGAAAGAAGGCACATCGGCTGACTGGCTTTCTGAAGGCTTCCACCAGCCTGCGTCAATTCACTCCCTCGATTCCGGCGAAAAAGAATGTTATTGTTTATATATTTAGTATTTTTAATATATTTACGCGTTGAGGTTTCTGTAGCGATTTGGTTAAGTTTAGGTGGTGGAGTTGCTAGCACCACGCCCTAACCCTCGCTCTTTATCCGGGCTTGGGACCGGCTAGAAAACTAGCGGTCTAGTAATCTAGGCAAGGTTAGTGAGATTATTGATTATTGTCTTTTTCATTGTTTAGATATAATGGAGAATATTTGTGTTCTCTGAACTGGATGGTTTACTTGAAAGGCTTTTATTGCCTTGCCAGGCAATATCCTTAGCGTATACTTCAATTTGATGAAGTGAGCTTGTAAATTTCTCTCCAAGTTGATTGGTTATCTCTCCTGGTGAGTGACCTTGAAAGTGATTGGTTGCTTTCGTATAATTCCACACCCTTTAATCTATTTGTATTGGTATTGGTGTATTGATTGTTTTAGTTGACCTGAAGTTCAGATTTTTATGTATGGGATTTCCTTCTCATGGATTGGTAAATGTTGTCTATTTCTTCAATGTACATGTTAATTGCTGATTTACTGGAATACCAGGCTTCCAAAAGCAAAAACACATAACAAAATTATCTTGCCACATATAAAGGACGGCTTAGAAATCACTGCAAGACTCTTCAAACCTTTAGCAAAATTGATGTCGCACACAAACCAACAAAGGCAAAGTTAAACTTTCGACACCACTAATAACCAATCAGCAAACGACTTTGAACGGACCAATCACATTAAAGGGGCATATATGATGACTGGAAATGTATATTTATAGAAAAAAAGCATAAAAAATAGAATAAAACGTTTACATGGGATATCTTTCTCGAACATGTGAGAGAAACATCTCCCAGTTCAACATGGGACTGTCAATGGAGAAGTTTCACCACATCCTGTACATATATTCATCCAAATGACTACAAATGAGATCCATTTATAGCCCTTATCCTGTTTTTCAAGAGGCCTCAAAACCCTTCAATGGAATTCGTATGAGTCCTCGTAACGGGATCCAGGAAATCACTTGAATGGTTCACTCTGTGATGAATATACCACAGAGATGACAGGAAATTATAACCTTTCCACTCGTCCGTGTGTATGATTGACCCCCGCTTAACAAGTCTCGTTATAATAGGTATTGAAGTAGTTGCTTTTCTGTCAGCTATCCGTTCGACGAATCCCTTTCGGAGGGAGGTGTCGTATAACCCTAATACCCAAATGTTGTTTGCTTGCTGGCGACCACGGGTGTATTTCTTTTTTACCATCACAGTTTCATCGACATGCACGATAACGTCTTCTCCACCCAGCAAAGAAGTAATTTTCTCCATTTTCCACGAAGCATTGTCTCTGCAATGCTGGTACCACTGAACTGTTGAGACGAGGCTATTCTCCGTCTCGGCAACTGCTGCTCTCACCGACTGTTTCAACACACAGTAGTTGCAGATATATAAAATCTGGGTTAGGGAGAGATGCGACCTAGCGAAAAAAGTTCCTACGAAATATTAAAATTATCAGCTTACCCTCTCTAATGCTAGCACTCTTGAAACATTTTGCACAACGATGAACAAATCCATCAGTTGATCTGCTATAGGTTTTTAAAGTCATGATACCACCACACGAACAAGTTCGCTCCTTCCGGAGCAACCCTAAATCCAAGCAATACTGGAAAACACTGTCCTCCCTGAATTGCAACCGTACCCTTGTAAGGGCACGCATTTGAAATGAATCAAGCGCTATACAACATTGAACTACGTCCGTGAACCTCATTGAATAATTCGACATCGTTCGTGAATCTCATGGGATAATTCGCTGATTGGTAGTTAGTAGTATCGAAAGTTTAACTTCACCCCAACAAAACCATTTCACTTGGCTCTATGTCAACCAAAAGATGCAACAGCGAATCAGGATAAAATCAACATCATCTATAAAATAAATTCCAATGACTATGGAAAACACTACATTGGTCAAAGTAGACACCCTCTCTGTCTTCTCATCCATGGACATCAATTCGACTGGGACAACGCTCAAATATTAGACAGATGAAATATCAAGAACGCCGGAGAATTTTCGGAGATCTGTTATTCCAGTGAATCAACAACTAACATGCACATTGACATAGAGAAGATTTGCCTGTCCATTAGATAGAAATCTCATACATAGAAATTCAAACTTCAGGTCAACGAAACAATCAATAATAATAAGCAATACAAGTAGGCTAAAGGGTGTGAAAACTGAAGAAAGCAACCAATTACTTTCTAGGTCACCCACCGGGAGAGATGGCTAATAAACTTGTGGAGAAATTTGAAAGCTCGCTTCAAATCGAATTTGTTCGGCAAAAGATATAGCCTGGTAAGGCAATGCAAAGCTTCGCAAGTAAACCATCCAGCTTACAGAAGACGTCTATTCATCCTTTGATATATGAACAGAACTTGTGCACTGTGGTAGAGTATAATTCCATTACAGGTAAAATTTATTTTGATAAAGTCTTACAGTGTTATACAGTAATACATTTGATACATATAATCCTACTCCAAAAACATGTTGGAGATATGTGGATGACACTTTCACTCACTAAGTAGTACAAAAAAAGACCGAATGTGATGAAATGAAGCAGATAGAAAAGGCGTCGGTGTCAAATAATTATCCTATGAAATTTATTAGGAAGATCAGTAAAGGCCAAAAGCAAAATAAAAATAATGACGAAACTAATAATGATAACATAAATAAGAGAGAATTTAAGGCATCTACAGTTATACCATATAAGGAGGGGACATCTGAAACCCTACGTAGGATTCTTAACAAAGCAGGAATTAGGGTGGCATTTAAACCTGCGAACTCACTCAGAGACAAGCTCTGTAGCTTAGAGTACCCACTTGACCCAATTAGACAAAATAATATAATTTACAAAATACCTTGCAATGACTGTGGGTAGGATGAACTACATAGATCAAACTAGTAGGTCGGGGTTGGTCAGATTGTCGGAACGTAAGAATTTAGCTAAGGTAAGAATGGTTGACCCCGAGAAAATGAGTAATTTCGAAAATAATTCAGCAATAGCACTGCATGCCTTAACACACAATCAGTAATATAAATAGGTGGAGAGAGAGATTGATTACTGAATCCTTGTTCATCGAGGAATAACTGACCACTCATACCGGGAATATGAGAAATACTATTGTACCAATCATGGTTAGGACATGTGTTACGTATGCCAAGCCATCGCCTCCCTCGACGAGCAATGTTAGCGGATATAGGGTCAGGCTGGAAAAAAGCTAGCGGCGGTCAAACAAAAACTTGGCATCAGTCAATGAAATCCACAACAGTTGGTCTAAGCCATGTAGGAAGATGTAGACTTCCAGGCTGGGGTCCTCGGGACGGTAAAAATCTATGGTTGGAAACAATTGGTGACATGGCTCAAAATCGTTCTCAGTGGCGCAGATGCATCCACTCCCTGTGACTTATGATCTTCAATGAAACTGTTTTGTATTTCTTCATTACTCCTTTGTCTCACACCTCTGCTCACTGTTTCTATTATGCTTTTCTTGTACTTTCTTCTCTTGCTTCGCGTGCTACACGGAGCGTGGCGACTTGAACTTCCGCACATTTGTGCAAAGTTCTATGTCGAAAACAGACAGACAGACAGACCAATCAAGTTAGGCGATGAATTGAAATAATGGAATTATATAAACGAAGTTAGAAAATTGTGTTAATATTGCCTTGATATGATTATGAGTGGTAATGAATTGTGCTCGAAAGGTGGTCATCAGTAAATATTACTGTATAACAACACTGTGTGACTTTATCAAAATAAGTTTTACCCGTAATGAAAGTATTCATTCTTTGCCTTGAGAGTAAAATATCATGCCTTAGTAGCACATGTGCATTGTACTCTACTCTTTGCCGTTATTTTCAATTTTTACCCTCGAAATGAAACCCAGCTTGTTACTACGCATTCTGTTTCCACTCCAGGGTTGAACAGGCAAGTCATGACACTTGAATTTATCGCTTCAATATATGTCAAATCCATGCACTTCCGTTTCCTTGTACATATTTCCTAGTTGGACAATGCCTTGCGAAACAAGGCATGGAAACCCCATACATGAAGTCACTTAGAAATAAATTATTTTGGTGAAGTGATCCTATGAAGTCTATTTCGGTCTATCTAATACCTTGTAATGATTGTAAGGCCCAAGTAGGCATAAGGCTAAGTCAGTCAGACTAGCGGAGCACGAAAACCTAGCACAAAACTCTACATTAGTTGTCTCTAACATGATATGAAATGTAGAAAATATGTTAGCCATAGGACTGCATGCAATTTCACAGAACCATGCAATAGGATGGGAAAAGATGTCATTCTTAAAATCTAATATAACTAATAAGGTGGAAGGAGAGAGAGTGTGTGTGTGTGATAACTGAAGCGTTGTTTTTGAAAGACGACTCTGGTGCAGCCACGTTCGAGAATTGAGCTAGTATCTGTCTTGTATTATTCTGTTGCTAACCATGCAGGATAATATTGAGAAATGCGTTTAGAAAGTGTACGCTTTATACAGCCAATATAAAGAGATGCATTTGGAACGCATCTCTGAACACTATCCGGCATGGTTAGCAAAACGACAATGTAAGACAGTTAGTAGCTCAATTCTCGAGCATTTGGTCGTGAACTTAAGCCACATAGCTCCACCAGTCGTCTTTCAAGATTATCTACAAGGTGAGGCCAAATGGTATGAAGGGCGTCAGGTTTCGGCGTTTACGTATGGAGGAGGCGTCAGCAATTCGTCAATATAACGTCGAATTTGGTATAGAGAGAAGGTGAGAAGCCTTATTTATCGGATCAACTGGGAATATGTGCAGTAGGGATGATGTACTATCTGTTCTACCACTCCTAGTGTAACAACAGAAGACAAGGGCCGGCAACAGATCGTTTTATTACGGAAATCAGCACGTTTTTATATTTTTTTCATGTACATTATTATAGCTTATTCAAGCAGACAAACACAGTCTTCTGATTGGTTGTTTCTGGTTTCTCGGGAATTTAAGCCGTATATTTGCGAATCTTATCTGCCCACGTTAAGTCTTCTGTGATTGGTTGTTGAATCAGCCTTGTTCATATTTTCTCACAGTCAATATTAGTGACCTAGACATTGACATAAATTAATGTCTACCAGTTGGCTAGCAGCCTGCTCTCACCACACTAGGACAGATGGGAAGGAAGAAAAAGAATTATGAAAATGGTATTTCAAAGTTGTATAGTTCAATGACCGATGTGATTATGAACGATAAATTGTGTTTGAAACTTCGTCATCCAGTACATATATTACCATAGTGCTCAAGTTTTATGTTCATTAGATTATGTTTTCTGAAAAGAGTGAATCCAAATCACAAATTGGCTTTCACAGACTAAAATCTAATGAATAACCTGTGACATCTAAATGCTATTGATTTTGTTGTATAAGCTATTACTCATCAACGTAGAGATTATTTACCAAAGAGTGTGAATGCAAAATGTGACCTCTCGAGGATATACACTGTTAGTCCGTTTTTATTTTCTATGCCTTCGGTAATTGGTTTGTAAGGATTTGATTCGTTCCAAGTTTGATAACAGGTCGACTCCAGTTAGACAGCTGTCTTGTCCTAGTTTTGGGACTCCTCAGCAGAACACACCCATTTAGGGTTGGAACCAAGGACCTTCCAGTTACAAGGTGACTTCGTATAATCATTTGGCTATTGAGACCTGATCCAATAGCCCATGAATTCCAGCCATCTACCAAATTCATGATTTTAACGCGACCACCAGTCAATTTCATTGGAGGGTGTTTTTTCACGTCTGACCTGGTGAGCCCCACTGGCCACGATTTCTCATTAAAACTCCAGACAACTTCGCCCTTTAGTCAGTCAGTCACTAGCGAGCCGTTTCATCTTAGTTCGGGACTCTTCATCAGTACGGACTCAGGACTAGTCACACCAGAGGTCGAATCGAGGACCTTCAGGTTATGAAGTGGTCCAGTCGGTCTATCAGCAATTCTGATAAAAAGAATGACCTGTCTATGAATTTAAACTCCTGATAACTCGCGAAATATAGTCCAACCGCCAGTCTCTGTCATCGGTGAGTATCTCTCCTCCTGTCCCTGAAGAAGTTCAAACTTGTTTGCTTTACGTAACATGTCAATAGATGTCGCTGAGGTTTTTATTTATTACTATTATTATTTATCCCTTCCATACGACATGGAACACAGGGCTTTAGTAGGACATTCGTATGACAGCCGTTTCGCTCCACCAACAGTTTCAGCTGACTTCACGACTGCTCACGAAATCTCCTCCATGTCAACCTGAATAATAATAATTTACTTTATTCCAATAACAGTACTTGTGATACAGAATGCAATTTCCAGCATTAATCACAATATTACTGCATCTAATTTCCTCAAATTATAAATAAAAATTAATCACACAGAAAATTTTCCACATTTACAATAGGGTTAATGTCACAAACATGCAACATATCAAATGGAAATAATAATAATAATGATAACAGCTAAGGTAATAATAATAATACAAGTGAAAATTGCCGTGGGCTTGTTTCACACAGTATTGTCGTTATATGCGGTATAGAAATCCTAGAATGTTTAAAAATATTGAATATAATCTTCTCTCTACATGGTATGGTGAGGGGAAAAACAAAGATTACAGACAGCAGTCATAGAGACAAGTTGGTGCTTGCAATTATGAGAGTAAAACAAAGAAGCAACAGGACCATAAATATAACAGAAATAATAAAAGTAAAACTTGAAGGTATATAAGGATGGATGGATGGAGGATATTGTTAGCTCTTGCCTGACACTATTTTCATCACATAAAATACGTGACAAGTATGGTATTATAGAATTTCTATACTTAGACGTGCGAGCATACAGTTTTCTGAAGTTACTTCTTGTTCTACCTGAGGAGATGCGAGGTGAAAACTGAGGGTAAAGTGGATGCTCCAAGTCAAACAAAATCGCTTTATCAAATTTATTGCACGAAGTCAAGTGCCTATCAACAACGACGCTAACTATGTGGTCCACTGGGACACCACTCACCCTACTGACCGTCTTCAGCATTCTACGAATTGTGACATAGTCCTTTTTAAGCAAACCAGGAAAGAATAAGCAAGGGTAAACAATAAAGAAGAATAGGTAGGATTGAAGAGTTTATGAACTGTAAGACGACTAGGGGTTGAGTTATACCCGAGTGCCTAAACTTCTTAATGTAAAATGTCAGGCGGAATATTTTACTGGAGATGGCTAAGACATGGGAAGATCAGGAGGAAGAGATCGGAAGAGAGAATAAGTTCAGGATACTTAGTTTCTGATTAATTTCTGAATGCGATTTCAAACTTGTTGCTCGCTTCCCGTTCAGGTCCCACTTGAAGGCCTGCCTGAGATTTCTACATGTATACACCGTGTTTTTAAATATTATGTTGTTCAATTTTTTCTTGTTTTTGTATTACAGTATCAACTTACTCTTCACAAATACGTCTATTACCTCAATCTGATAAAGTATGCTTATCACACGAAGAAAATTCTGTGGAATATATCTACAGAAGTAAGTCAGAAATTAAAGTGTATTAATCTTGGAATATTATCAAAGTTTTGTACATTATCAACACAGATATCAAGATCAATCAATCAGTCAACGAGGCTGTGCGTCGGTGGCACAGTGGTTAGGACTCTTGCCGACCATGCACATGGTCCGAGGTTCGATCCCCTACTGACGCACACCTGATATCTATGGTCAGCCTGCAAACTTTGGTCTACCGATATCCATGCTGAAAATTCCATACATGTACCAAAAATGCAGTGTGGAATCAAGCTGTAATCAAAAATAAAAAAAAATAAAATTACATCAACTGAGATGATTAGGACATGTGTTACGTTTGCCTAGTTATTGCCTTCCTCGACAATAGGCAATGTTACCTCACATAGGGTCAGATTGGAAAAGGGATGGCGGCGGTCAAACCAAAACATGGCTTCACCAGTCAATGAAATCTACAGCAGTCAGTTTTTGTCACGTAGGAAGGTGCGGACTTCCTGGTTAGGGTCCTCGGGACGGTAAAAACCAATGGTTGGAAACAATCGTTCTAAATGGTGCAAATACATCTACTCCTTGTGACTTATAATTTCCAATGAAACTATATTGTTCTTCGTTATTACTATTCCTTTGTCTCACACCTCTGTTTACTGCCTTCATTATGCAGTTCTTTTACTTTCTTCTGTTGATTTGTGTGCTACATTGAGGGAGTATGACAACTTGAACTGCCGCCAATCGGTGCAAAGTTCTATGTCGAAAACAGACGGACAGATATGAAGATGCTGAAAATCCCTATCCCTTCAAATGTAGTGGGTTTTTTTTCATCAGAGTTATTTGTCATATTTCAGTTGAACAGTTGACCAGTAGTACTCTATTGGTTTTCAATGGTTTCCCAACTACTGATGTCAACTCGTTATATTAGGCAAACTGGATCAAACGTTTGCAAACCTAAACCCACTTGAACATCACTCTGCTCATTGCTAGTGACCACCTACAGAATGATGGGCTGGAAAAGACTGAGTGAGAGATAATAAACAGAAGTGTGAGGCAAAGAGAATAGTATTGTGGGACAACATTAGAGTTTTATTGGATATTATAAATGACAAAGAAAGGATACATCTGCGCCAGCCATCTCACCGAGAACGATGAGTTTGAGCCATATCACCAGTCTACACCTTCCTACCTGTCTCGCCTAAACTAACTGTTGTGGATTTCACTGACTAAAGCCACATCCGTCGAGCAGAGTGCCGTGATCAGTGAAATGTATTTTCTCGGAATTCCCTTTACAGGCAAGCATCACCAGAGTACCTCTCGGTCGACAGAATCGAATATAGCTTCCAGGTCAAGAAATATAACGATTGTTGGACAGCGGTAAGTATGCCTATGTTCCAGAATCTGTCGAAGGGTGAAGATATGATCAATACACCCTCTTCCTCGCCTAAAGCCTGCTTGGTTCTCTGGTGTTTGTTCGTCCTGTGGGCCGCTTAGTCTACGCATTTTTATTGAATCTAGAACTTTAGATACCATATTAGTCAAGCTAATCCCCCTGTGATTATCATATGAAGACTTGTCTCACTTCTTGTATGTGGGGATAATCAGTGACTTACATCAACCCAACGGGACTTCCTCTGATTCCCTGATTATATCTACCTACCTACTTAATACCATAGTTAACGCAGACAGTAAACCATCTTCGCCGTCGCTAAACACCTATGCATTCATTCCATCAGGTCCTGCTGCTTTGCCTCGTTTCAAACTAGTGGCAGCTTTTTAAACTCAATTAGGGATCAAGGACCCATGTTGGAAAAGAGTTAGAGGTTGGTCAAACCACAGCCGGGCATCAATTTATGAATTCCTTGACGGTTGGTTTTGATCCACACAGGAAGATGCAGGATTTTAAGAACCAATGACTGGAAACTGTTGATGATTTGGCTGAAAGTCAATCTCATTGATGCATATACATTCAGGTTTTTTGATCGCTCGTATCTATTGAATCCTCTTTTTTTCCTTGTTACTATACTTCCTTTGTTTGATTGTTTAGATGATTGCATCATGAGCTGACATCGGTTAGAGAACCATTGGAAAACCTACAGGGAGTCCTAGTTTGTGACTCTCCAGTATTACACACCCACACTTTCTAGTTTGTCATCGATGAGTATGTACACTCATGCCCAACTTGAAGAACTTTGTTGGTCACAACTTTTCACTAGAACTCCGTCCGGGTGGTCCGTCCCATTATTTTAGTCACCAGTCAGTTTTAGAGTAATTTTCAAGCCTATGTTTATGGGCATTTGATTTATTTTTAGTAGCATCATAAACTGACATTATTTAGGCTCAACTTGGGATCATAATTTCGAATCAGTCGAATCCCTGTACACACTAATACTTGGAAAATAAAATTTGAGTTTCTGTACAACGTAGGTTTAGTTTGAAATACTTGACTACAATTGCTTCAGCAAATCATAGTAAACTTGCTGTCCTTTGTATGTTTAATATTGTGAAATATTTATAAGTCTCGACAAAATAATCCTTATGCATAAAGTGTTCATTAATTGCACTCTTCGAATATCTGATTCCTTTTAAACATAAAGTTTTTTGGGATACAATCAGAAAATCGGATAAAAAAAAATCCTTCTCTTTTTACTTTCAATGTCTTTGCTTCCGAAAATGCACATAAATTTATAAACGCAGTTGAAGGTGATATTTAGCAGGGTACTTATCCAAGTTAGATTGGATTATAGAGCATGTGGTGCTGTATAGCGCGTTATGAGCTTATTTTTACTGCTCCTTTCATTCTCTTGCCAATCTTTGTCAATCAGCTTAGTGGAGCACAAAAACCTAGCAAAAAAAACCTAGATTAGTTGGCTACAACCATATAAGAAATCTAGAAAATATGTCAGCCATAGGACTGCGCGCGATTACACAGAATCATGCAAGAGGATGAGAAAAACTGGCGGTCTTAAAATCTAATATAACTAACAAGTTGGTTGGAAGAAGAGAGAGAAATGGTGATAATTGAAGCGTTATTTTTGAAAGATGACTCTGGTGGAGCTATGTGACTTGAGTTAACCACCAATTGGTCGAGAATTGAGCTAGTAGCTAGCTGTCTTGCATTGAACTGACCGTTGTGTTTATTATTCCATGGTGAATTGAATGTTTGTTTGGATCTCATTGAGACGGTGAAATAATAAAGAGAGATACTTGATCCATACTGTTTCGAACAACAAACGTATCATATTGACATACTGGCGATAATAGGTTATTTCATCGGCAGTAATTTCTTCGATGTATCATGGTAACCCCAGTAAATGATTCGATTTTTCCGTGTGTAATCTCATCTAATGTACTAACCATTGTGCAGGTTACTTATCTATATTTATGTAGTTAACTGTTACTATAAATGCAAATATTGGTGTGACATTGATATGAATGTATCTGTGTGTGTGTATGTGTGTGTGTAAAATACACAAGCATAGTGTTAATCTTCCTTTTTGTATTTGTTTTCATTTTTCTTCTTATTGCAGAGAAATTCAGATGTATTCAATGTCAAATGTGTTTTAAACGAAATTATCAGCTCAAATTGCATAGTAAACTATTTCATGGTGAGTAGTAGTACTTGTGAGAGTGTACCTTCGGAATTGTGATATCTGAAGTTTTCTTTTCCTTCTATGTGTTCCTAGCGGAACATATATCAGGCTGCAATCTTTGAGGTTTCACTAGCAAGTGGTACTGTTTTTGAAATTGAGCTCATAATAAATACGCGGAAATATCGATGTACTACGTTGCAGATTGTGTCTTCAGTTCTGTCTGCATAACGGCCTCATAGAAAGAAATAAAACATGTAGATTCGCAGGCGTAATGTCTTCACAGGAGATATGCAGTCACTGTTGATAGGTGTGTGTACAGATGTCCAGACTGTCATTTCAGAAAACCTACCTGTGAAGGTATTTCGTTCCATTTTCGATCTCGTGTGTGCTGTAGAGCAGTGAATGAGGCACCAAAGGCATGATATACAGTTATCTGGACGAATTTAATCTTCGATAATTCCAATAAGGAATCGGAAGGTTATCTTGGAACACAAATGAGAATGTTACTCTGTATGATTTTTTTTTTCTAAAGGTAACTTTGATTTCTATAAAAAAGATTTTAAAATTACGCGGGCTCATCTGATTGGTAGATGACGCCTGATCAAGATAAGGTCATTATGACGGCCGTTCACTTGAGTTACTATAGTTTAGAGTAACTGTTTTGGAATCTATGAGGTTGTTAGCGGTACTCCGAACCTCCCCCCTTTCCAGGTGAGGATTAGAAATGCGTCAGCTGGGAGTCGACCCCACACCTCTGTTTTAAATATACCTAATTTTTCCAAAATATTACATACATGTTTGCAGTATAGTGATATCTGTGCGACCTCTGAGCCCTGTTGGTGGTTAACTATCTTAGCTTATCAAGTGGAGATCATTTAAACCACGACCATTAAAGTCTATGTATAGAATAGTTACCAAGTTCTCTACTCAACAGCTCGTCTTCTCCATTATACTTTGTGTCGTGCGTCGCACGTCACTTATATCGTGATGTAGTGGTTGTCGTTGTTAATAGTACTTAGAACAATAGGCTTGAAAATCTACTATTGAGGAAGTTCTTCAGCTCAAGAGACATGTAAACTACGAAGTTGTATTTGTCGGTCATATCAACCTCCCAGGTGTTTGGTGGACATTCTCCCATCGAAGCAGGGATTCATAAACTATCTCCTAGATTTGAAATCGAACTCGAACCTTCTACATGGCATGGCAGCCGGAAGTAATCACCACTCATACAATCAAGGAGCATATTAAGTTTTAATTTATTTCTATATGTTCGCCAAATTACTTAAAGTTTATGTAATGAACGTAGAGGAGGAAGAGGTGGTGATTAAGAAACCGGATTGCCAACACCAATCACTATAAACAGAAGAAATTCAGAGAAAACTGTCTCTTTGACTCACTCAGTCTGAACAACTGCCCACTCTGCTCCATCCTGTGAAGATCAGATGACCAGACGGTAACGATAAGGGATAAGGAACTCTGCTGAGTTAATGAAAGGACCTAACAAGTATGCAGAACATTATGTCAAGTGGATACATTGGACGTTCACTGAGAGATGTTCAAGTTGAAATCTTTAATTTGCTTGACAAACTGAAATGAATCAGAAACCAGATACGTTCCGAAACGTTTTCGCAAGGGCTGCAACCATTCACATAGCCACTGTGCTAATTTGTGGTAGGGTGAGTTTATCATAGAGAGGATAGGTCTTAACGGCGCTCCTGGTTTGTGTATTTTAACGCGTCCGTATAATTTTGGAATTTGTGACCCAATCGGTTTGATATTTGAGTGTGTTTGTGAAAGCAAATACGCACCTACCTGGGTTTGAGTCCAAGACCTTCTGGTTACAAGACGAGCTTGTAGAACATTAAGCCACTGAGACCCAGTCCAACAACCCATGAATAGAGTGGAGTGGAATAGAGATGTGTCACTGATGTTTCTCTCGGAAGGCAAGGAACGAATAATAATAGTAATAATACACAAACACTTGATCATCACCTATTTACCTTCTTCATATTTTGTTTTAGGTAAACGTTATCGTTGTCATAAATGTGGAAGAATATATGAATTTTATGGTTATCTTAAAAAGCATTTATTATTCTCGCATAAAAGTAAGTGGGGGCACTGTTTATTTCATAATGCGCTATGTATTTTCTTACTTATATATGTATTTACACACTACAAATCCAATATTGTATTCGATTGGTGGGTGCGGATTTCGTCCTATTTAGGACTCATTGGATGGATGTACCTGTATTCCCAGAGAGTGACGGTGTTCCCATCGAAGCTCGAACCCAGTACTTGCAGTTTCAAACACCAAGGCGTTATACACCATACCACTTGGGCAACGAAGCATCTGTACAAGGAGACAACATTTTCAACCTGAGATCGAGCTCTACGTTCCAATCAATCGATAGGGAAATCTAAGTTATATTAAACTGAACTGATAAAACCCGTTGCACAAGAAAGAGGTGACCCAAGTGGTCTAGTAGATAACGCTTTCGTGTTTGAAACTACAAGTACTGGGTTCAGGTCTAGGTGGGAACATCGTCACTCTCTGGGGAATGAATACAGTACATCCATCCGACGAGTCCCATACGAGGAGTTGGATCTAGAACCTCTTGGTTAAGAGACCGAACTGAAATGAAACAGCTGTGTTAGTACTCTTTGAATTTCAATGGTTCCCTAAGTGATGTCATTCTGTGGTCAAACTAGGGATCTTTTTTTTTGTTTTTTGTGACGTTCCCTGATCCACTAGTGTGGATAACTGTTATGTCAAGACTAACTGAGCTAGTAACGTAGAATTCTGCACAAACATGCATTAGTTCAAGCGGGCACAGTTTGAAAGAGGATAAAATGAAGATGTACTTAAACTACATGGATAAAAGTATGCTAGAGAGGAAATAATTTGATGAAGTCTAGTGAGGCTTTTTACTATTTAGATAGTTTTAACTACTACTGAATATATCGACAACACTATAATCGTTTTTAAATTGTGCCACCAACTCTATCTCACACCCATTGATTCTTATCATCTTGAGATCCCTCAGACAGACAGTTTCCATCTTTCTGTGTGGTTCTAGCAAATAGTCGAGGTTTTCATGAATTAGTGCTGTTTGCCACCCCACCCTCCCCTTCCGTCTTATCAAACGTAACTGTAAGTCCTATTTCAGCTAACATTCCTCATAGAGGAGAGTAGTTCATGTCATGCGTAACATGTCTAAGAGCCATCTCAGTCGATGTAGCCTCGCAACCTCATTCATTGGCTTTATCTCCTCATCCAAGACTTAACGCCTTACCTCAGTCTTACGATATCATGTCCTCTGATCGATAGCTAAATATTATATCTACGCCAAAGATTGTGCAAATTGGCGAATTTCACACGAGACTTTTATTACTGACAAATTCACTCCCTATCTTCTGTCTAAAAGTTGGTGTATTTCAGTCCTGCGGCATCATATCTTGTATCAGACAGGAGCGAATCGTATACCGAACATTCGAAGATTTCTGCCAGTAGAGTTCAGTTTATGAGTGTCTTCACCTTGGTGGACAATATTCATCCTCATACTGGGCGTAAATAAGACTGTCCTCTGGTAAAAAGTCAACCTCCAAGTCGCTAAACTAAACCAGGATCCCACTAGTGACATGTATGACGAAACTAAACTAGGACTTGGACCATGGGCATCCCATCCCTGATGAACACCACTAACTGTCATCAACATTTCAGACGATAACACTTTGTAAGCTCTTCCTCGATTAGGGCGTCTTTCTTAGTGCGGCACTCCTTTCCCTGTCAATCATTGCCACAGCACCTCTCAATCAACGGAGCTGAATTCCGCCATCAGGTCATGGACTTATAGCAAGTGCTGTTGGACACCGTTAAGTATGCCTACATTCCAAAATCTTTCAGTCAGCCTTTTCTTATCTACCACCTACAATGGTCATGTCACACAGACATAAAAGGACGACAGAGCGGACGATAGTACGCAAGTTGTTTAATCGAATCGATGAATTCCACACAAGCCATTTGTAGCAATGTGTTCAACACCCCCCTGTCTTTAAGCAAGAATTCTATATATATTTAAGTCTTACAGGATCATCATCGTACACTTAAAAGGGGAGTGGATCTCATACTAAATATTCAAAGATTTCTACTCAGGGTGTTCAGAAAACTGTGTGTTTTATCAGTGTCTCCACCTGGAAGGACAACATCACCTACATACTCTAAGTCGACAAAACTACTCGATAACAAATCAACCCCCAACTCGCTAAAGTCAATTCTGTCAGTGACATCAATTATGAAATTAAAGAAAAAGGAAGAAAATGGGCATTCCATCCCCGATGAACACCACTGATTGTCATCATTATATTTCAGGCGATAACTCTTTGTAAGCAAGCTCCGCTGCACGTTTCTCGACATCACTTCTGCTTTCGACTCTGTACCTAGATGTCTCTTGCTAAATAAGCTATCTATGGCACAAACTGAGTCCTGAGTCACTAACTGATTGCATTCCTACTTCTCTAACAGAATGCAGTACACTGTGTACAAAGGTAAATCCTCCTCTGCTGTGCTCACTGAAACTGGTATCCCTCAAGGTACTGTACTCTCCCCATTTCTCTTTTCCTTCTTTTTACATGACTCACCATCTTCAAATGACATTAATTTTGTCAAATATTCTGACGACCTGACTGTATCTTTGCCTGTCAAATTTCAAAGTGACTGCTCCAAACTAAATGGGTTTTTACCAGAAATCAACCAGTGGTCCAAGGAAACTGGTCCAACCTTAAACCCCTCCAAATGCCAAACATTCAATTTCACCTTTGGGCATAAATCTGACCTAAACAAACTGGTTAGCACTCACGAGCTGTGCAACATAGATGGCACTGAAAAAGACACCAAGTCGGAAATTAACAACCTAGACGTCATTCTATCTGCTGATCTTTCCTGGTCGTCTCATATCTTGATGATTTCTAAGAAGATATTACCTCTTACCTTCTACATCAAGAAGTTAAGATATTCTCGAATAACCTAACCCTTACTCCTACGATTCGTTAACTCTTGCATCCTGCCTATTATTCTCTATTGCTTCCCCTTTAGTTTTTCCAGGACTACTGAAGAAAGACTATACCTTATTACGCAGGATGTTGAAGGTTGTCAGCAGGGTGAGCAACGTGCCACTTAACCAGCTCGTTAATATTCTGGTTGACAGGGACTTGGACTCATGTGAAAAATGGGCTAAATCCATTCTATCTATCTAACTCACACCACCATCTTCATTCACAACTCTCCCCTTGTATCTCATCAGGCAGGACCAGGAGCCTATACAGAAAACGATATGCTCACACTAGCAAGTACAAAAACTCAACCATACCCTACTTAGCTTGTGTTCTGTGCGATAAAGAAAGCATTAGGCGTGAAACCTTTAACTTATTAAATAGTCAGTAGAACATCTCGATCTCGTCTTTCCAACTCATATCATTAATGGGTACAACGTTCTCTTTCTTTTCCTTTTCTCTTTTTTGTTGTTGCTTTGTGCCTCTCTTCCTTACAAACTCTACTATAAACATCCTATTATGTACTCGTCGCCAAATTATTGTTATGTACTGGTCGAGAATTTAATAGTCCTGACGCAAGATAAACGGAAATCAGAAGACCACTAGGTTTGCTATGATACTTCTATTTTCCAAACACAAGGAGAATCAAAGTCACACAAGAGTGTGAGAGCAAAAATATATATGAATGTCCGAACAAGTGTGTGAACAATCAATAGACAGTCTTAACATGATTGGCTAATTATAATGGAGTATCGATCCATATATACATAGCAAAATATAGCAGACATGTCAACAAACACACATATTATATGGATATATATCACCAAGGACAGACTGTCAACAAACACACATATTATATATAATATGAGGGGAATATACATTGTTAAAGGAGACATGTTCATCAAAGTGAAATGGTCACAGACTAAGAGAGCAACAGAAAGAGAGACCACCATATATATATGGATACATATCACATTCTTCTTCGTTCTTTCACACTCTTATCTTCAGCTTTTGTTACCGCTTACGCCAGTAAATATGCTGGCATCTACTTTTCTAACACCTTCAAAGATTCTGTTCACTTTTTGCTTTACTACCGACATGCTAATATGTTGTAGTGAAAACTAACTGAGATTACCCATAATGTATGTAGAATTTTATTTATTGTTAATATACTAACTGGATGCAATACTGCAGTAAAATGCTGAGAATTCCATTCTGTATCACAAGTACTGTTATGGAATAAAGCAAATTATTATTATTATCATTACATCGTTGCATAATTTTGAGTTTACGCGCATTGATTAGTGCACCACTAATATCCTTGTTTGGTACTCATTTCAACATTACCCCAATGCCTTCCTGTTGACAAGAAGTCAAGAAGTGCAGCAAGTGTTATTGGACTCAGTGAGTAAGTGCACACCAATATACTAAAATCTTTCTTTTTGTTCTAAAACATGAATTTAGTTACTTATGTGTATCATACTAATACTTATGTCATCGTTTATTTGTCTTTTTTATTTAGATCTATGCAGCCTACAATTATCATAATGTTGACGGGTATTCATCACTTGTAACTCGTAACGTAATTCGTTATGCATTACTGCCTGTATATGTGTATATATGGGTGTATGTGTATATGCAGAGAGAGAGAGAGAGAGAGGTGTGATCAACATGTAGAATTATTTCGACTGCTTATAGTGGTAATTCTATAGATATATCACCACATTATGTAATCATTGTCTACGTATATATCTGGGTGTATTTGACTCTCTCTCTCTCTCCCCCTTTCTTTCTTTCTCGCCTTCTCCCTTTCACTGGCTCAATCTCAGTGTACAATCGAGAAATGTAAATGATGTAAAAAGCCAGGAACAACAAATATTGTTCATATTTGTGCATGCATATATTTTATTGATTTATTCATTGATTTGTTTATTTATTCCATTTTTATTGCATTTGTGTGCTTACTTACACAAAGACTTCTTCTTCGTCTTCTTCTGTTTTGTATTTACTTTTGCCTTCTATATTTTGCGTTTTACTTATATCATATTAATCGATAATATCAATATAATATTAGTGATAATAATAGTAATAATAATAATGCTAGTAACGGTCGCTCATCTGTACACAGTTCTATCAATATTTCTATGAGAATTAAATTCTTATTATTATTTGTTTGTTTGTTTTCTTGTATTTAAATAAATTGCATCTGTGTGTGTGTGTGTGGTTCTCTTTTTTTAGTGGTAATAACGGACTATCAGACGAATCCAAAATGTACATTTTTCTCCTCTTTGACAATAGTCAGCTAGTGACCATTATAGTGTTTGAAGCGTCTCGGCTAGAGGCTGCCAACGTGTCATCAAAGACAAGGTATTTTCTTAGTCCAGCAGGAGATCAATCGAACGAATGGAAATTGAAATTAACCTAAAAACAGTGATATCCGTTGCATAAGATGTAGCTCTCGACGTCCAATAGATGATAATACTTTGACGTTCACGACAATTGGTACAAAGTTTAGGTATCAGTGGGGGAGCAGTACTACGATTATTGAGAATGCAGGAGAAGATGTGAATCTTGGATTCCACTGCTAGTCACCACCATCCAAAGTAACTTCATGTTTAGCAAACCGAGCAGTAGAACCAAGTAGCACAAAAAAGACCTAAATGATAAAATAAAACAGATAGAAGAGGCGTTGGTGTTAAATAACTAACTATCCTATAAAATTCATTAGGAAGATCGAAAAAGGCCAAAAGCAAAATAAAAATAATTTGAAACTAATAATGATAACATAAATAAGAAAGAATATAAGTTATCTACTGTTATACCATATAACGAGAGGACATCTTAGACCCTTCGTAGGATTCTAATACAGCAGGAATTAGGGTGGTATTCAAACCTTTAAACTCACTCAGAGACAAGCTCTGTAGCCTAAAAGACCCGTGAACCCAATTAAACAAAATATAATTTACAAAATAACCTGCGACGACTGTGAGTTCAACTATATAGGTCAAACTGGGAGATTGGGGGTAATCAGATTGTCGGAACATAAGAATTTGGCTAAGGTAAGAATGGTTGACCCCGAGAAGATAAGTAATTTAGAAAAAAAACCCAGAATCGCACTAAAGCATTAACATACAACCACACCATAGCATGGTGGGAGAGGGTTAATATTCTAAGAAGTAATCTATGTAGGTGGAAAGATAGATTGATTACAGAATCCTGGTTCATTGAGTGAGTCTACACCAACACATGCAACAGAAATGACTCAATACAAATACCAGAATTATGAAAGATATTATTACCACCAGTCAGTCAAATCAGAGGAGGATAATAAATAATCTCAAAATTCTATTTCAATTCACGTACATCATAACATTCTATCAAGTTACTTATTATGACCAAAAAAACATTCCTCTTATTTTCCATCTGATTGTAATTGATCAATAACACTCATATTTATAATTCTGAATGTACATTATCACATATTGATTTTTATTCAAATATCTAATCGATTCCACACATGTATATAAACGAAGTCTGATAGTTGTGTGAGTAGTGTCCTGATATGATTATGAGTAATAATTTATGCTCGAAACGTTATCAGTTAATATTACTGTGTGACTTATCAAAATAAAATCTTATCTATAATGGAATTATACTCTACCACAGTGCCCAAGTTTTACACTTACAGCTTCATGTTATCCTTAGGTGTAGTAGAAGCATTCTCACTAGCAGCTGATATGTGAACAAAGACCTTCTCACCGTATGATCTCCATCTGACTGTTGAATGTCCAACTCATCGCTTCGCATTGACGTCCCACTCTGTGGTCTAGTTGCATAATGTCACCCAGAGTATATTTGGTGGACAACAGATACTTGATTGATTCGTTGCCAGAGGTTTCTTGTAGGGTAATCCTTTCCAGTCGGTCATCTGATCTTTCAGTATCAACTTAGCAAAGTGGGCAGTTTTTTGATGAAAGTTGTCAGTGGGGACTGTTGGAAATGGTTAATCTGATGTCCATGCGAAGACTCTGAAACGTACACAAAAGCATGACTAACTTGACATTAGAAAAAGACGTAAACAGCAAGAAAATTTTTCCTTTTCGACGATTCATTTTCATGAGAGCTATACAATCGTAATTATATTTAACAAAGATACAGGTGAAATTTGTCCTTCAAAAATATGTTACGTAATGTGAGGTGAAACTAGAAGGGATGAATAATTGGAAATTAGAAAAGAAGGCAGAAGTTGGCATGACGTTATAGGTGTGAGATAATGACAAATCAATAAGATTGTGTAGAATGGACAGGAACTAGTGGAAAGACGACAAGGTGTTTTTTGTATAAAATCTGTATGAAACGTGATGTTATTAATGAACAGTAATAGAGGGATAGTAAAATATGGTTGATGGGAATAATAATGATAATAATAGTAAACTTACATAATAGAAAAGAAGCAGCGTTATAGCAAGAACGTCACTCTGGCCATAGCAGAGTGAGTTAGTGTATGTTGCGCTTCTGGATGCAGCGGTCCGGTTTCAGATCCTGAATAACTAATGATTCAGCTATGTACAGATGGCCTAGGCGAAGTCCATTTGTACGATATTGAGGGACTTTGTGAAGCACTTATGCAGGGGTGCTCGATGTCTGGAGATGACAAGGTGTTCGAGGATAAAGCTGCCACTATTCTCCTCTGGCTAACCAAGCTGGACAATGTCCAGAATACGTTTGTGGATTTGACGTTGCATACGGCCGATATACAATTAGTCTGTTGAATATTTGAATCTTTATTTTTTATTGCTAATTGCAGTAGATTTTTGTATTGATTTCAGTGCAGTGAAGATCCGTCATGCCTTCTCGAACCATGCTGGCTGTGGCTGAAACGATATTGTCTAGATAAATGAAAGTAGCAACCTCCTTCAAATATACGTTGATAGTGATTCGTTCTGGTTGTTGGGTTTCTTCATCACATCTGTCTTCTTCCTTTATATTCACTTGAAGTCCTGTCTTCGCTGCATGCCTCTTTACAAACGTTTTTGGTTTCTACCTGTATGTCTGGTTGATTTACTGGTTTATACTTAGATCTTTCCATCGATGTGCAGCAGTTCAAGTCGCTACACTCCATGTAGCACACAAAGCAAGGGAAGAAATGCAAAACAGAGACAGTAGACAGAGATATGAAGCGAAAGGAATAGTAATAGCGAAGAACAATACAGAAACGGTGGAAATATGAGTCACAAGGAGTGGATGCATTGAGCAATAGTACCAATCGTTCCAGCCCTCATTGATTTTTACCGTCCGGGAACCCTAACCAGGATGTCTACACCTTCCTACGTGGTCTAAACTAACTGTTGTGGATTCCATTGACTGATTTTGATTTAACCATCACTGGCTCTTTTCCAGCCTGACCCATCCTATGTCAGCTAAAATTGCTCATCCATCGAGAAGGCGATGGTTAGGCATGTCCTAGCCTTCTCAATCGGTGTACCTTCACAACCTTATCTACTGACTTCCCCTCCCTACCTAGCACTTGACCGTAGCCTAACCTCAATATTCCTCACCTCACTATACCGGCTAACATGGGAGATAAAACGCAAACACCTATGATCAAAGACAGTTAGCCGGCCTCTTCATGGCTCCCACTTTCAGTGCCTATGTCTCATCCACAGCCATAAAGGAGGACAGAGCGAACTGCTGCTTTTCAGTACATACACCCTTTGATTGTCAGCGAGCCAGCCAGATATTACGTCTGGTGACATTAAAATACTAATAGGAGACATAAACGCCAAAGTGGGATCAGACAACAAAGAATTGAACTCATCATCGGTAGAGAAGCTCTCGGAGAGATGAATGAAAGTGGAGAACTCTTCGCCAAATTCTGCGCCTTCAATGAACTAGTGATTGGTGGCAGCGTATACAAACACAAAGATATCCAGAAGGCTACATTGGTGTCACCAGATGGGCGAACCAAAAACCAAATCGATTTCATCTCAATCTCAAGGATGTGGAGGCGCAGCCTACTGGATGCAAAAGTAAGAAGAGGAGCAGACGTTGGCTAAGACCACTATCTTGTGCAAAGGACATGGCGCGGCTGAAGCCCTATGTTCCTCTAGGAATTAAAGGAATATATATATATATATATATATATATGTCAATGAAAATGAAATCGTCTCAAGAGGAATTTTCTTCGCTGGAATCTTGTAAATAAGATTAATCATATTTTTTTCAAAATAGCCAACTTTACATAACATATTTTGGAGCTCAAATTCGAATAATTAAGAATGTGAAGCTTGAACACCCATCTAAGTAAGCTCTTAGAACATGCAAATAATAACGTCACATCCAGCTGTATCTATCTATATTTAAATGTATGTGTAAGTCACACGTACATGGAAGTGCCACATCGATCTCTATAACTAAGGGCTTAAGAAGCCTACTGAATCTACCATACCTATTAAAAAATGAAAACAGATAGCGTGGCTGTTCCATTGCGTGACATATCGAAAATAGTGACAGGCCGTAAAATTGATGTTTATACATGTTATAAACCT